GTGAGACCTCTGACATTCTGATAATGAATAAAGATTTGGTCAGAAGATGAAGCTAGTTTTTTGGGGCAGAAATGGTACCCTGTATTGAAGGGACTGGAAGGGTGACAGGCTGGTTACGCTTTTTAGGCTTGAACTCATGAACAATCATGTGTGGTGGCCAAAATTTGGGATCACAAATGATTGGGAACATATCATGTGAAACATTTATTTTGAATGATGATATTTCACGAGGGGTGGAGAAATTAAATTTAGTTATTGACACGCTAGCAGAAGATTTGCTAGCAATATAGGCTGCCAATGACTCAGAAGTGGTGTCCGACGAAAGTCGAGACACAAAAACTTGCCTACGAGGGGCAACTACCGTTAAAGTGGGCGCTGATGGGGCTGTAGGTAATACAGGAGTTGGAGGAGCTAACGAGGCACAATGATTGCTTTTAACAATCTGCGCAAGATTGCGCGCAGGTCTACCTTTGCGGCCAGGAGCTGACGGGGCTGAGGCAATTTGATTAATTGGGACGGAATCAGGTAGGGGCTCTACTGGGTCTAGTACAGGGCTTGAAGCCGGGGTAATTGGACAGTCGCTTGGAGAAGGCGATAAAGACAACATTGGAGATACCTCCAAGTTGCTAGGAAAAGACAAGAAAGTCGTAGGAGTCTGAACAGACGTAGAGGGCAATTGCAAAAGTTGAGGCTCCAACCGGCGATTGGTTGGAGACTCAAATTTATATTTGCCTAGCAAATCGAAACTCGAGTCAAAATTACTCGAGAGCTGCTTAGCCACATTATTTAATTTTAAGAATTGACTTCTCACAGAATTATACATTCTGGAGAAATCAATTTGCTTGTCGATGCATTCTGGGCACGACCAACGCAAGCCACCGCAGCCCTTCTTGGCAATAGCAGCGATCTTGTCGCAATCACGCCCAGTGAGACCTGCACATTTAGCATGCATCATATTCTCACACAGCCAGCAATTAACAAATTGCGGCAGTGCAGAATCGTCAGCCTGCTTGAACGTGCACGGTTTCTTACAGCACGACATAATTATTAAATGCACAAGCAACTTGCGAGAGCGCAGAGCAAAACGAAACTTCTAAAAGTTTTATTTCCTAGCTTATTAAGAATTTAAACACAAAACTACAAAAACTCTTAAAAATAAAATCAAATTTAAGTGCATTTAAACTTCGTTAAAGCTTTTAACAATTTTCAAGTTTCGGTTTTCTATATTATCGTAAAATCCATTAAAAAGTTTTGTCGCTGCCAACGTGGAAAATAACCATAATAAAAAAAAATATAAACGAAAAACTTTGACGACTGCATTCACAAACCTTGAGCTGCTTTTAATGAAATTTTCAATTTGCTTTTTATGTCGCGTCACAGTATTGGCCTTTGTTGCTATAATGAGCCTAAGGCGTCAATGGTAAACGCTGCTCGGGTTGCCGGGCAACATATGCAACACATAAGGCCAACAAAAGTCAGGCAACCGCAAAACAAACTGCAACAATCCCATGCATTTGCCTGCGGCAGCAGCGGCACAAAAGCGTGGCATGCTTTTAGGAGCCCTTGCCACCGCTACAGTTGGTATCTGCTGTTGGGCTTGGGATTGGATTGCTGTTTTGATTAGTTTGCCTGAATGCTGTTAGTGCTGCTGCTGATGACGAGAACAACGTATCAGCAACAGCAGCAGCAGCAACAGAGGTGGAAGTAATGTTATTTTGTGATTTTGCCTTGTGGCAACTAATATGCGATAGGCGTGTGGCATTTGAAACGGGGCGTGGCTGACACCAGGCACGGCTCAGCCGTGCACATCCAGATGCGAGTTTTGGCAAGTGTCTCAGCTTGCTATCTCGTTTGGCCGTTAAAGGAAATATGAAAAATAATGAGACACTATGAAATGTCCTTGACAAAAGTTGAGTTCTACTCATGCTCTTTTGCCTCATTTTATTTTTGCACACAATTTGACAGCAGGCGCGGTGCAGCACGGCGCGATGCGATGCGACGCGACGTAGAAACGTTTCCGCAGCCATTACGTATACGACATGTTGCCACTGCCACAGTTGCATGACAAGCAGAAGGCAACGACTGTGCTGGCAACGTGTTGCAGCACGCAAGACATGTAATTGTAAGTGTGTTGTGTGTGTGTGTGTATGCCCCACCAGAGCCGCTAAACACAGAGCTTGTGACAAGGTCATACACAAAAAGTTTTCCATTTTTTGTACGCGTCTTTAATTTGGACCAACAATTTACCAAGTTTTTAATTTGCAGATTTTAAGGCGGCTTTCAACTTTCTTTTACGCTGCAGGTACCCATTGTTGTCTATAAGTAAACTCGGCGAGGCCAAATTTTAGTTTAATTTAAAAAGCTGCTCCAACCCATTAGCTCTTATAAGGTCTGTTCGAATTGAAATCTGCTATATGACATTTTATGAAGATTTTCCAGCAACAAATTTAAGACTTATAAATATAACTCATTAATATATCTGTGCGATTGTTATTTATTATTGCTTTAAATTTACGCATATACTAACGGCTAAAAACATTAATCTAACCAATAAATAATGCTTCGCCTTAGGCTTAGAGACTAACTATGCCTGGGACTATTCCCAGCTTTATACCTAGATGCGAATTGTTCAGAGATGAGTTCATTCCGTGCTTAACCTCACAGCATTGTTTACTTTAATTTTATTTCAAAGCATTCTACACTAACATATTTAATATTTTTAATTAAAAAATTCCTAAAAAAAAAAGTCACATAAATTATTATTTGCTGTTTGACAGCGGGCAAGTTTATTATTTGATTTATGCCAAACGTTAAAATTGCTAAAAGCCCAAGGCACTTGATATTAATTTAATTTAATTTAAATATGGGCATTTCACATAATTACAACTGCCAGCCCGGGCTGCGTGTCTGGTATTTTATGCATTTTTCATAATGCAATTTCCAGAGTAATAAATTTTTGTACGCAACACTATCATCATTATCAACAGGGAGCAGACCTGCGGCCAGGCCTGGCAAAGTTTGGCTCCAGTTGCCTTTGCATCTGCGCCTTAACTTCCAGCCGCACCATACTCCTTCCCCACACCATCATTTTACACGTTAATCTCAGATTTCCACATAAATCACTTTAAAGGCGACACACTTGCGCCGGCCAGGCAGCCCAGTCAGAAGCCCAGGTAGCACCGAGCTGCTGGCCCACTGCAATTTCTTTGAGTGGCAATTCCATCTTTTTTTTACAGTCTCCGTTTTGCCGCTGCTTTCGCTCTGAACTTTGTGTACCGAGCTACCTTTGGGTGTCGCGTTATTCTGTTTGTATCCAGCCATAAAATGTTACTGGCCATGATGTTCAAGTGTCCAGTTTTGTCAATGGAGCGACTTAACGTTGACGGCATTTCGCGGAATTCGTTAAGTCTTAACTAAATTTTGATATAACAATGTTAAATATAGTTGTAAAAGAAAAAAACAAAATGTTTTGTGTTAGAAATAATTCATGAACTAAATTGTTATGGCTTGTCGTGCGATTAGATACCCTATACCCTTTAAAGATGAGCGGGAAAAGGGTATAATAAGGCGTTGAAATCTATGTTAATGCCATTTAAATACATATTTATATATATAAATAAATAAACCTTTATAATAGTTATGTATTGATTGTAGGCTTATAAAGAGCTTATCAGAAGAAGAAAAAAATAATAAGAAATCATATACTTATTGTTTTTGGCAAATTGAATATTAGTTAGTTTGCGTTTTAGATATTTTAATGTTTATCAATGATTAAAAATGGCTTTTCTAATAGCTAGAACATTTCCCTAAATGCCATTGTGCCAATATGTACTAGGTATATCCAGGTCTTAAGTATTTTGAAATGTATTTTGATTGTTTAAGCTTTGCGAATGGTGCTCATACGCACTGTGGGCTGCATTTTAATGGCCTGACTTCGTCTTCAGTTTCAGCTTCAGATGGCAGTTGCTCCAAAAAACGTCTTAGTGCGGTCTGCTGTATTCATTATGAACCATTATCACTAGCTGGCGCCAAGAGAGGGCGGCAGAGGGGTATGGAGTTGGGCAGAGAAAGAGCTGCCTCTATGCGCTTTGCACTTGTAACAAATGCGCCATATTCAATGGCAGCGCTTGTCCTGCTGCTGTTTCTGCTGCTCCTTGCACAAACAATGGCATTGGCAACTTTTACAGCTGCTTTTTGCTGCGGCACCCTCTAAGAGACTATGTTCTCAGCGCCATTGTGTTTGCGTTTTTGTCTGGTCTGTTTGTTTTTACCAAGCATCCAAGCAACCAGGCAGCCGAGCACCCAATGTGCGACAAAACTGTCTTTATTTCAAATGCTGTTTTAAAAAATGCAATTTTCATTGAAATTCATCGCAATTTCCTTGCGCTCGATTGTCCTTCTCGCATCTTTTTGCCACTCACTTAATTTTCATCACTTAAAGCGAGCCCAACTTTTGGCTGTCGCCTCTCGAGTTTCACTGAACTCAAGTTTTGTTTAGGGTTTTGCTTGACATGTTTTTGGGTTTTTAATTAAATTCGCATTCTTTGCTGGCTGCTGGGTTGCTGCATTTGACAGGCAATCGGCCTAAGGCTGGAGCAGCAGCAACGCAGCTCGCGTTGCAATTAACAAATTGCTAGGCAAACGCAGGCGTATACGCAATATGTCTCGCCCGACAAGCAATTTCTGTGTCAGGACACACAAAGCCAAGCGATGACAAAGCAATATGCGATACACGTTTACCTCTAGTAGTTGCACGCAGCACATTGAACCAAAAACAAAAAAAGGAAAACCTATCATAGCTGTTTGCGTAAGTGATGCCAATGTTTGACAAGCACTTGACACAAATTAATGCACGTATATACACGAACGAACTTCAAAATGCTCATAATTATTGTTTGCTTTCAAAGACAAATTATCAAATTTATTTTGCAGGGCGAACATATTGCATTTATATATTAGATCTAGAGAGAAACATTTATTCAATTATATTTTCTATGACTTTCGTAATTAACTAATTATGGTTTTTTATAATTTTCGTTTGTATACCCTGTACCCATTAAAAATTAGTAAAGAGTTATAATATAATACAATGCATCGACCTCGAAAACTGCAAAAGCTAGAGACTTGCAATTTTTAAATATTATATGTAAATATTCTTCTATACACAACACGAATTTATCAATAATACCATAAATTCTTAATATCTGTGTAGTGCAACTGGTAGTCCATAATATTTAGTATTTTGCTTTGCATGTTTGGTTTTTCGATTCTCTTTTTGGGCAGCACGAATCTATCGGCCCATCTGTCAAAGACCAAGGGTCTTGCCCTCTTTGCAGTGCTAGAATCAGAACGTCAGATTACCCGGCAGCCAGTCAGTCAGCGGGTACAGGTCGTGTTGTCAGTCAATGAGCTTGGGTTCGCTTTAGCCAAGCAAAAAACAAATATAAGAGAACGAAATAGCAGAAAATTATCATACCTGGCGCTGACTAGAGCCACCTTTGACAGCTGGAAACCACTCAAATTATGTGCCCGCTGTGCAGCTGGCAGAACAAACTGGACTAACAACTCGAAGAGCTGCTGTTGCTGCTCCGTCTTCTTCTTCTTCTGCTCCCTGTCACTCGTTATGTTAATTTTGTTGGCCTTGACAGGAGCCAAGTAAAGCAATTGACATGAAGTGACTGAGCTCCCAAGTCGAGAAATACCTGTACGTATAATGCGATGTGTGTGAGTATTTTGTGTGCAGCGTGTGTTCGTGGCCTGCCTTCAAAATATGACTCGATATGCTATGCAGTGTTGGCAAATTAATTAGATGTGCGTGTGAGCCGTGTTAGCGTCTACGTTAGTGTTGGGCAACAGGTGAGCTGCTTTGATTTTGCTCTAACCAAGAGAGTAGATAAAAAGATTTTTTAGAAACTCTCGTCATATATATTGTTATTGCAATGTATTTAATTTTAACACACGAACATGCTTGATAAGGAATACAAAATTTCTATAAAAATGATAACAGAAAGGGAAAAAAATTAATTGTCAATGGACTTTACAGGCATTTCAATACCCAATACTCTCTTGAAGACATTTCATGAATGCTGGGTATAAGAAAAATGTACTCAACCGTACGCTCTTGCTCATCATCATCAACTGCATCTTAGAGAACTGAAGCGAATTTAGTTTCGAGTAGCATCCTTTATGGACGCCATGGCGCCTCGATGGCTAATGAAGTGGCCGCCACGTTGGGGCCGACCAAACGGGCAGCGAACTTTAACCCACAACAGCAAAGCGTGTAAATAGCAAAAGTTTTGCTCGTATGGTGTCCGGCATGGAGAGAATTGAACTAAACTATTCACTCAACTTGGCAAAGCTAAAAATCATTTAATTAAAGTTCAGCACGGTGAGCATCAGCAAAAACTGCACCAACAACAAGAACAGGAGATGGTGATCTGTTAGGAAAAGCCGAACTAGAAGATACCCTAAACGCAATGCCAAGCTAGCGGTTCTTACAGACATTTAAGTTTTCTTCTATTCTATTCGGTGTATTCGGTATATTCGATCATTATAGTCCGATCGGTATAGAATAGTCACTGCTTAAAACTATGTTTAAGGGTTAAGTGTGTGTGTGTGTATATACTAAATCACAAGATCTTTAAAATGAATTGGTGTCAAATTCGATGGCAATGCGGAAAGGTATTCAGAAGTGAATTATTTTTAATCTTTTTATCCATACGAGAACTTACCGCCCAAGTTTGATGCATCTCTGCAAAATCATTTTTAATAATAGTATAATAATGAAAGGAGATCGATTAAAAAAAGACACGCGTACTTTGTAGTATGTAGGAGAATAAAAATTTCATATTAAACGCCCCTTTTGTTGACATGACATGACATATAGATAAGAACATATATGCCTCATATGCATTTAAACAAAATCATTATCCATTTTACCCATGTTCCAAGGGTTAAGGCTATACAAACATCAGATTTCAACAACACAACATGATGCTGTGTAAGCGGCTCCTAATTGCTTTAACAAGTAACTAACAAGTGCACAGCTAAACGGGATGAGCAGGATATGGGGGTGCAGAGGGGTGGCTGGCAAGTGCAGTGACCTGTGCTACCCGCTAAATGCAATATAGACAGAGGCGGGCAGATATATATCACTCACTAATTAGCGAGGCAGGCCAGGGCGTGGCCAATAGCAACACACAGCCCACACAGTCCACCCAAACGTGCTGAATGCCAAGTGTTTGAATAATTTAATTTATTGGCATAAAGGAAATTTGAATGCAGCGCGTGCATTCTGTTTTAAATATTTTGTAAGTTAACAAAGCCAACGCAGCCAGATGAAATATGTTGTTCAAAAAATAAAGCTCAAGAAAATGCGAGAGGAATTATTTATATAGGAACATGCGGTTTATACTCTAACAGTTGGCAAGTTAATGAAGCTAAGCATTTAGTATGCTACACAAATATTTATAGAATTCCTGTTCAGTTTGCGCATCAAGAACCTGTAACAAATCTTAATATTCTTAAAAATGTTTTGGTGCAATTATAAATTTAAAAAATACATTTTTTAGATTTATGAATGTAGACCAGGCTTATAAACAGAACCTAAAGGCAGGATCGAATTTTGAAGGAGTTCGAAATAATACACACATATAAACAGATTTGGAAGACCAATCCAATCAATCTTGCTTATAGTCAGTATAAAGAACTGCCCATAAATAACTTCAAGGTTTTGATAAAAATATACTTTTAAAATTCACTGAGGTTTATACAAAAAGTTCTTTAACCAAAACGTTTTCTTCTTGCGACGCGTCCTTTTGAATTCTTCGTATTGCTGCTTGCGTAAGTTTTGTATTTCTTAATAAATGTGTAGACAAGGGCATTTTATCTTCGCTATTCCCCAGTTGGCTTTTCACTCCTGTTGCTGTAGCCAATGTCTGTTGCTTACAAATGACTTTTGGGCACTGAGCTGCTGGCGGCTAGTGGCTGCCTGCCCATGCATTGGACTATGTAATTTTTCAGTGGAAAAAACAGCCAACATGCAATTTATGTTGTTTACTTAAGATTATTCATAAACGGAGCCCGGTTCGCAGACATTGCCGCATGCCGCCAAGCACGAACCCTGCTGATTGCCACCGCTCGTGGCTGACCTCCGCAGTGCCCCTTATGCTAGGCGTTGTCAATGCAATACGAATGCGCTGCGCCTGCAGTTTTCTAAATAAATTTTCTGCTGAATTTGCTTTAAAATGGCAGCAACAGCAGGAGCAATGGCAAAGCTCAAATTGCTGACCAGTTCCGACTCCTTTGAAACGTTGGCCAGTGGACCACAGTGGGCGTGGCAACATGCCTCACTACATGTAATTTTACGCGCAACTTAACTTGTTAACTGTCGGTGAAGCGAGGGGACAAGGGGGCGAGTGCGCACCCACATACATACCTGCCGCAGTGTGTACAGATGTTTGAGCTACACGGCGTATGCGTAATATGCAGCTTTACTGCTTTGATTTGGAATTAAAGCTTAAATCAGCAACAAGCACCAATTGTGGCATTGTGCACTTGAATTTGATGGTTGAATTGTGTACGTGTGTGTGCGTTCGTCTGTGTGCGAGTGTGTGGGTGTGTGTGCATCTGTATGTCTATGATACGAGCATGAGTTATACGAGCAAATGTTAAGCATACGCCCCGTCGTTCATGGGGTTGAGAGATTGCCGTTTGCTGCTGGCTATTAAGATGGAATTACATCATTAGCATAATGTTAAAGTGAACAATCAGTGTGAGGGGAGCTTATTCAAATGATATATAAATACAAGTGCAGTGAAACGGGACTTCAATATGCGCTTAATATGTATTTATATTGTTGAACTAAATCATTTCGTATGTCACATATTATTGCTCTTTAGTGATGGTCGTCCGTGAGGTCAGGTTGGGCTAACAACGACAAACAATGAGCCGTGATATATCAATGGCTAAAGCTTCCTTAATGTGCTTTTAATTGGATTTTAATATTGCATTTACATTAAACGGCTTAATTGGCCGCTGCAAAGCAAATATATGTACATGTATTTATGCGAATTAATTCTAGAAATTCACAAGTAGCTTAAGCATAAAGTAATAAAGACTTAAAAGCTGAAGTTCTTTGTTAAAATCACTCATAATTGATGTACGCATATATTATGCACACTTAATAAACACACAAATAAACACTTTTTAATTAAGTTAAAGGTCTGAAAGTTTTAATTTCAATTAAAATTGGACTTGTATAATTTGTTAAGTCTTATTAAGGAAATATAAGAGATGTTCTTGATCAATTTACTGTTTTAAATAGTTGACAACGAGTATTAGTTCATAATAAATCGGTTCACGATCTTAAATTTTTATAAAATTTGTATTATACAATTTTTAATACTTAACTTACTCTAAAATCTAAGCAGCCACATAAATTATTTTAGTGTGCCATCCTTAGATTAAAGATTAGATTAATATTCGCCCATTCAGTTCGCAGAAATATGATTGATGTAATAATTATTCATAAGTTAATCAGCGGCAAAGTCGACCTCTCTGATTTATGTGTTCTAACTGGAATAATTCATAACTAAGTAAATATCTTCGACTCTTAAATGTTGCTTAACTAATTATGACAAAAAGTATGCTGTAAAAAGTAAGTTTTGTATAGCTTATACAGCTCACAGAAATGTTTACAAAGTGTAGTCCCTCTTTCGAAAATGTAATTAAAAATAATACTATATGGACTTAGTTATATTTAAAAGGGAGAGTTTCTAGACTAAAGCTCTTCAGTCTATTTGTAAGATGTGCTCCTAAAAGCACGCTGCGTACTCACTTGACAATTTAAATGGTTGAAGCACCTTGCCAACTGTACCCCAGCCACAAGGCCCCGACCGTCGATTCCCATCACAAGCAACGAACAACGACGAGCCCATTGTTCAATTAATTGCTGCACAATGCCATTATATAACGCCATGTCTCTTGCTAATATACATCGCCCCCCTGGCCGTTTGTCGCCCTTTCAGTCCATTTCTTACTGACCCTTTTCTAGTCCTTTTTTCACTTCAGATACGACTATGAGACGCTGCTCCAGAATTCAACGTTTTGTTTGGTGCCGCGCGGACGTCGCTTGGGCTCCTTCAGGTAAAAAACAATTTTCATTTTACAGCTCATGCCCATTTCATTTTCCTCCATATATACATACATACATATATATCTTGTGCTTTTTTATCCTGATTGTTTTTCATTCATTTTTGTAGATTTCTCGAAGCATTGCAGGCGGGTTGCATCCCGGTGCTTTTGTCCAACGCCTGGGTATTGCCATTTGAATCGAAAATCGATTGGAAACAGGCCGCCATTTGGGCCGACGAACGGCTCCTGCTGCAGGTGAGTTGTCCAAAAGCGTTAAATATATATAGATATATATGTGTATACACCTTACTTTTGTATAGATTGGCACATAAGTTTTTTGTGTGCTGTCATAAAATATGAAAACGCGTTGCGAGTTTTTCAAATGTGACCTGTTTTGTCTGTCTGAAAGTTTTGTTATTTTTCCGACTAACCTACATCCGCAATGGGGATCCTGTGCGCTGTCCTGCCCAGTTCTGTCCCTGTCCTGTGTTATCTGTTTCTGCCAGCAGAACCCTATGGTGAGCTGCTGTCAGCTGAACATCGTCATTTATTGACGATTTAATGTCCATGAAAGCTGCACAGAAACTGTTGCATAATATTTTTCATCAAGTTCTGCTGTTAAAACTTTCGCAAGTTTTTCTCATATGCTCACGAATTGTTGTCTTTTTTTTTTTTTAAATTTTACAAACGAAAATAAGGTTTTTTATTGGACTAGATTCAACATCTTCGAAGTGCTTTCTTAACAGCATTGTGGAATTTACTAAAGACTAATCCAAGTTGCAGAAACTGCGACTTCAGTAGACCCTTGCTTCCTCTCCATTGGTGGAGTTAATTTCTAATAATAATAATATGTATGTATTCCCGTCGAAGTGGAAGTCTTGCCTTTGCAGGTATCCTTGAACACCTTAATAGATTTTAATGCAAGAACTCAAAGTTTGCGTATAGTTTCTCATGTAGCTATATAGCTATCTGATCTGGTTAAAGTGCATAGCAATTATAGAAAAGTTACAAAATTGTCAAAAGAGCAATGGGAACAATAAGTGGCGCTTGTGACAATTCGATCCTGGGCATTAGTCACAAAAATTGCCTGCCATTTGCAAGTGATGGACGAGAAATGAATCGTTTGCGCGCAGCATATCCTGCTGGTGCGCCATGTCCTTGCCAGATAGATGCTCACCTGGCTACAAAAACATAAAACACTTTATGTCCGCCCGTCTGTCCACCTGGCTGCCTGTCTCTGTGTGTTTTTGTGCCCTATCCTCGCTCTTTGGCATTTGTTTGCACGCACTGTCCTTCTGCTGCAGTTTCTATTGCTCCAGCCACAGCTCCAGCTTCATCTAGTGCTCCTGCTGCTGCACCTCGCTTCTGTTCGTCTTGATTCGCGACAAAGTCTTGTCGCATTGTTTGCCAATTGCATTGTTTCCCCAACCCGCACCTTGCCACGCAGCGTCGACCGTCCTTCGACTTCATCGTTGGCATGTTTGCTTTTGTAGTTTATTGGCAGGAAATGCAATTAATTAAGTTAACTTGAGCAGGAAACTTGAGCACTAGAAGCACTCGTGCTGCACTCTTTAAATTGTTTCAATTTGCTGCTGCTGCTGCTGCCGCATTTATTGAATTCTACTTGTGTGTGCGCTGCGTTTCATAATTATGATGTATATCCTGCGGGCCAATTCCCTAACTAATTACCAGCACACTGCCTGCCACACAGCTGCTGCATCAGCTGGCAACCAAGTTGTTTTTGGGCCGTTGTAATTAATGCATTGTGCCTGGGATTTGCTGCTGCTGCTGCTGCTGTTGCAGCAGTCGTTAAGCTGATATTCCACATACGCACAGTTGGCAGGCAAATTTATTATATCCATCTCTTTCACTCATTGCAGGTGCCCGACATTGTTCGCTCCATTTCAGCGGAACGCATCTTTGCCCTGCGCCAACAGACTCAGGTACTTTGGGAGCGCTACTTTGGCTCCATAGAGAAAATCGTCTTCACAACATTCGAGGTGAGTTTCCAGACATTCTTTTATTTTTGCATCTTGTGTACTGCTTATTCCATAAGCTGACACGCCCACACACGCACAACCTACACTTTCTCTACACTTTACGCCAAGAAATAAGACATCAGCAAGAGGTTAACAAAAAAAAAAAGAAAAGCAGAAAACAGAAAAACCATCCACAAACTCTTTTACAAAAAAATAACCTGTGCACATGTTGGATTGTTCGGAAGTGTACTCTGTGCAATCCTTAAGTAGGTAGCCCAAGTTTGTCGCGAATATTGCGTAACTTTTTTCCAACGTCAGCTGCACAATTCTATAAATATGTGAAGTTTTCGTAGCTAAATGACAGCACTTTTGTCCTTTTCAAGCATGTCGAAGAGTACACGTTTATTGTGAATAAAATTTGCCACTCGTAAGGTTCATGACTCGAACCAACCCGTAGGGAATCTTGAACCTATTTTTCTACATCCATGAACTGAGGTCTTGGCTTAAGCCTAGCCTTGTCACATATAATTATAAATTGATATAATGAAATATTTGAATTATATATCAATTGTTCCCCATTTAAATTTTCATATTATCATACACGATGATCGATAATTTACTTTAGTAAACTCTTCTTACTTCTATTAGGCAGGTCAATTTGGGAGCAATGTTATTTTCTTGTGTACAAATATAATTATGAACGAAAAACGTGGTTTAAACACGAAAAATAATCAGATTGTCTGCGAGCTCTATCATAAGGAGAATTTGATGTAGCTCTCAAAGCATTAATCAGTTGCAAAATTTGATACGGCTATTTTTTGGTAATTCATTTAGTTTACGGCTTGGTTTATTTGACCAGCAATTAAATTACGTCTATGCTCTCATCCTCTTGTGACCCTAATGTTAACAGTATGTCGATAATTAGCAAATACCTGTTAGAGTTCAAACCACTTAACAACATGTTAATTTAACAACATGTCAACTCGTTTGTCGCTATCCCATTCTCCATTCAACGAACTTATGCTCAAAGTTGCCAGCTGTTCGTGTCAAATCTGGAAATGGCGACCTGACATTAACTTTCAACAAAATGTATTTTGAATACTTGTTAAATTAGCTGTCAATAATGACATGCAAAGCACGAAAACAAATGGTTTTTACTATGCATATTTTGCGTTTCCATTTAAAAAATTATAGTAATTATGAACCCTAAGGATTTCAGTATATTTGGAGAATTTATTTTCTGATATTTATGTTACGGAGCTCCTTTAAAATTGTAATAGAATATGTATAGCTGACTTTGCACAAAACTGCAAGCGACAACTTTAGACGCATGTTTATCGTTGTGTGTTTTGTTATATCTGCGCCGGGGCAACGCAAATGTATCTGTTAGCTATTTTCTAAGTAGCAGCAGTTGTCGGCTATTGAATTTGAATGTGGCAAAGCGATGGCTACACCCGATGCGCGACGTCGACAAAGGAATTTAGAGGGCTTTGGGTAGATACAACGGCGCTGCAGGCAACAGAAAAACCAAACCGACGATGACGGTGACGATCAGACTGAGGATACAGACAACGACGACAACGACGAAGCGTTTGCGTATAAATAATACATACGCATTGTACACACATACCACACACACACACACACACACACACACACAAGTTGTTTATATACAATGAAATGGCAAGCAGCAAACGCGACATGCGACGACGTTGATGATGAAGCCGAGAAGCAAACGAAACCCAACCAAACCGCCGACACTGGAGACCACTTTTCAACACTCAAATTGACACACACACACACACACAGAGAGACACGCACACTCAACATTTACAGCCAATGCATGTGTATAGAGCATTCAATTCTGTGTAATCATCATGCCCGGAACACAGAAACTGAAACTCTAGCTACAGAGACATGAAGTGAAAAAGGGGTGGACAGAGAGGAGAGCAAGACGAACTGTTGGGCAATGTACGTAGGTCGCGATGTGGCGAATCTTTTTGCGTTGACAGACACATTAACAGACGTCGACATGGTTGGATGTGGTTGTTGGTTGGCAACGTTACCCAAAACTTGTGCTGCTCGCTCGTAAACCGCATCGGAGTGAGAGATTGGATGATGCAAGTGTGCGTTTTGTAGCTTCTGTGGTTTTGAGTGCTACATTCCTTCTATTCTCGCCCCTCTCTCTGTCTTTGTCTAGCAATAATCAATTTACAGTTGCACGTGTGTGCATGTGTTAACCAAATGAAAAGCAAATATTTGCCATGCAACGTGACCATCTTGTAGTTGGGTAGCCGTAACAGCGATGGGATAATCCCCAAAAACTGGCCAAAACACGCACCACATACGACAGAGCGTTTTGTTAATATCCCAGCCCCATAAGAGCAGCTGTTCCCGAAGCTTTTGTTCCTGCTGCCAGGTCAGGTCTCTAAATGGCCGCTGACAGCACGCACTTGCAGGTGGTCTGAACTCTGATTTATGGCCAGCTAATTTTCACTCCATTATTTTTTATTGCTTAGCCTTTTATCAACTCTGTGTTAATTGGCTTCGGCTGAAGTGCTTTGATTGGGGCTTAAATTGCAAACAGAGCCTCAAATATGGCTAAAATTCGGCAAGAAAGCCAAATAAGTTGAACGCGTTGCCGTTTTCGCTTTGACTTGACCTATTTAATTTGGTAAACAAAATATTTTCTACTAAGTTTTCCTACAAATATTTGCAAACAAAAGCATACATCTCCACGGCTGAATGCAACAAAAACAGGAAAGCCAGCCTAACAAATATTTATGCCATGCAAAGGTCGTCAACATCATCATTTAAACAATAAATAAACAAAAATGATTTTGCACGTTTTTACGGTTGCCAGTTTAAGAGAAAGGCAAAAATTATAAATTTACTGAAGCCTTTATTTATAAAATATTTGGTTTCAAACAATAATGGTCTTTAAAGAATTAAAAACTCAAAGAATTTGGTTTTTGATGAACTTAACTCAAAGCAGGCTTACTTAAATAAATCAATATTTAACTAGAATTTAAAAGTTGTTATAATACTCGTTTTAAAGGCCAATCACAGTTTATTTGCTACCAAATTTATTAAGATATATCTTGGCTCAATCTTTAAAGGAACTCATAAGTGAGTGTCTGCATTCCAAAGATGAATTTGTTTCCGATCTTAGGCAGCAAATTTTTAGGCAGAACTTTCAGATATTTTACGGATTAATATTCACTTCAACGAATTTATTTTAATCGACGTCTGCGTCTTTGTCATCAGTTCAAATGGCTGTCATTTATATAATTTTATAATACAACATATTCATTTTTTAACTAAGTAAAATATTCTTTAAATAATTATACAAATTCTGAAAAATCGTATGTAAGTCAGCCAGAATTCCATTGCATAAATTGAATAAGCTTTTTATGCATTCCATTTTCTCTCTTCTCTAAGTTTGGTGTGGATATTATGTCATACAATGCAACTGCAGCAGCGGCACCTTCAGCTAATGCAACTCGCCTGGAAGCATGCAACACTTTTTGTTTGCGCTGCTGTGGCAGCTATTGCAACAGAGCCCTTACCCTTGCACCTTTGATTTATGCGTCGCGATTAAAAAATGAATTGTGGCATTTTCGACAAGCGAAATGGTCACGCCCCGCCCATCATTTTGTTGTTGCATGTGGGTTGTATGTCTGCGTGGCACGTGCGGCACGTAATGCTCAGCCCTCTTTTGCATATGGCAAAAAAATGCAGCCTGTGTCAGCTTATGGTCAGCTTCACTTGCACCCACATTGCCTTTGTGACTTTAATATGAAAAAAGTTTTTGCGCATATTTGTTGAAAAATAGTTGACGTGTGCTGCCTGCTGTCTGCTCTCTGCTGTCTGATGCCTGTGGCTTGGCAGGCTGCCCTGAGTTAACTACAGGCGAGAGTCACGTCGGAGCCGAGCATCGCACATCGAACCCCTCGGCGGCGTCACCCAAATGAACATAAACTCAATTTATGCATGGGGCCGGGCTATACGGGCTAAAATTATAGTCGGATGCCTGGCAATTTGTTTTATTAATAAAACGCATATCAAAGTGCAAAATCCACTCCGCAAGTTTGCGCCCCTCGAGGCGTGTCCTTTTCGACGCGCTGCTCGTAACTCGCATCTCGCATCGTTTTCCTGCCTGCCGCATTTGACAGGCAAATCACGTCGACAGGCAGCAGACAGGCGGCCCCGCCTAATAACCTTTTAGTCTAATAGCTTAACCCAAAACACACACTGTCTGGGGGATTAGAATAGAGAGTGTGACCGGCGTTGGACACGCAAAATCCTTCACGCTCAAGACTCATTCATGCAACAAATTGATTTAGGCATAAACGAGCTGCGTTCCCAAAAATATGAGAGTGGCAAATAATTTTTGCCGCCTGAATTTGATATTTTTGTTATTCAGCCCTTTCCCAATCGGAATTCGAATCCATATCCAAATCCAAGTATTCAACTCTTTTGTGGGCGTTGAACCGCAGCTGGCGGCCTCTTTGGTTTATGTTTGTCTCTTTCTCGCTTTATCGCTCTCTCTCTCTCTCTTATTTGAGTCAACAAACTAACAACAACAAGTGCAAAAACAACAAGAGCTGATGCTGTTGGCTATGCAAACAACAACTATAAACGGAATGGAAATATGGTCGGAAAGGGTCGCAGAACGTTTGGGTCGCTTTAAGTGGGTGCCCAACATCTGGACAAAAAACAAATTAAGCAGTTATTTGGGGTTTTAGCCGCACACACAGGCACAAATTTATGGGGCTGCACACCCTTTGCCCGGTTAGCCTTGTCATTTGGTTTTTGGAAATGAAGGCGTCCTTCAATAAAGGCCCACTGATAATAGCGAATGAGTTAGCGTATTTTCTATGAGTTTTCCTTAAGGCATAAAACTAGCGATAATTAAGTTATATTCTTAATTGTTTTTCAAATATGTGTGCTGTAACATGCTTTAAGTAAAGTTTACGGCTTAGCTACTCGAAACTTCAACAAAGCTTATGGGCAAGTAGACTTAACAACTAAATAGATTGAAAACCATTTCCTGACACTAAGTATCGATATCGAAAGGCCATTTTCGATAGTATTTTAGCATGTCCTGTAAATAAATTATTTGCATTTACATAGAAAATTTACTAAAAACAATTTAATATATTTTATTTTCAATTATTGTATGCGAAGGGAACATAGTTGCACTTATAATACATGAAAGGAGTTAAATAACCTGACTAACCTTACGAAACTGTCGATAAATTCATCTATAATGTAAGAAACTAAACCGACTTCACCGACTCAGTAGCTATTATGAAAGCATATAGTTCAGTTATTTGCATAGTTATTTTAGCTGTGCTTCTACCCCGTTCAATTCGATTCATATCGAAAAGTGCGACAAATGTGTTAGATGGTTAAGAAACCGCAACGAAAGTTTTGTGGAAAAGCCTGGAAAATAGGGTTCATTCCTTTGGTTCCGTGCTGATCTGTAGATTTGCATAATTTTATTGTGTGTTGAACTTTGGTCGTAGCAAAAGCTGAATACGCAATAACCTTGCATACACACAGTCACACCGTACAAAGGCACCCGCACACACTCACACACACACACACACACACACACACACACACACACACACACTCACATACTCATTTATAGAACCCACAATGTTGCCCAGTTGTAGCCACCACAAAGAGGTCACTCAAAGTCCACTTACCAACTTAGTTAGCCTGGCGCCCGCTCTTCATGCCCAAAATCTTTGCCTAAGCCTAAAAGTCGCTATTGAGTTTGAGTGTGTGCCAGTGTGTGTTAGTGTGTGTGTGTGCTTGCGGCTGTTTGTGTCGGTGCTGTAGTGTGTGGATGTGACCGATAAGCGTGTGGTGTGCACTTAAGTTGCACAGTCACCAGGCCAGTGGGACGCTGCCAAATGTTAAAGTTCGAAACTGGCCAGAAAACCACAATAAGCCAAAGATTACTTCCCACTTCAAGCATCTCCAGATACGAGCTCTTGACTGGAACCGTTCTTGTTGTTTTTGTTGTTGTTATGGCTTTGGCTATTTGCGTTGTTGGTATTTTGTTTATGGCCAACGCCCAGTGCATGGTCCAGCTGCGGGTTCAGTTAGCTAGCACAAAAATATGTTGCATACTTGTAGGCAGCTGTCGAAAAAGTTCATGCACGGGGTGTTGTATATCGTCTCTGCCCAACACGCTCAACTTTTGTGTGTCACCGAGATTTGCATTTCAAAGCAACGTGGACGCTGTCACGCCCACCTGCAAGGGGATATAAATATATATATATATACGGCAGCACCTGCACAGTGGCAACAACTTATTAGTTTGACTAATCCTATTATGCGCATGCAAACGTGCGACAAGCTAGAACTTTTCCTGCAACTACTTTGAAGTTGAACGCCTCAGTGGCTGTCACTATCCACCTACTTTTATTCTAGCAGCCCCCCCCCCCCCTCTCCCTCCCCCTTCTTTCTCCGTTTGTTTGTCCACCTGTCTGTCCATAGATTCTATTGAATCGTGCGCTCACTCAAGCGCCACTAAGTTGTCTTAGTAGTTGCCGCTGCTGCTGCTACACTGCAAAAATAAAGGTGTGAGATGCATGTCGCGCTAGCCCCGAGTTCGGGCGGAAACTAATATAGTTAATGCGCTCAAATAATACAATTAAACTGCGTTAAAATATCTTTTGAATAATTACATTATATTAAATTCATGACCCATTTGATAAATAATTAAGAGAAATGATATTTATTTATTTTTTATTGCAAATATAATTTTATTTTTGTTTGTTTATTTGAATCAATTAAATTATTTTTAATTTGATTATGCAATGTATTTACAAAGCAATAATAAAATATAATTTTATTTTGGTTTGTTATAACTAACTAAATTAATTGAATTAACATTATAAGAAGGCAAACAGAAAATGTTAATAACGATTGCAACTAAGCAAAGGCATTTGGTACAGTTTTTTGTGAAATTTATTTGCTGAAAAAACAATATTAAACGAGAATATATTAGCAGACATCGCTAGTGTCAAAACACATATATTTATATATATTTAGACAGTCAAAAAAAAAAAAAAAAAAGGAAGGGAAAAACTGGCAAAATATCAAAATAAATTTGCTATTCCATATGAGAGTTGGGTAAATTTTAGGTTAATAAAATTGATCTGAAAACTAATTTGAAATAAAATTTTGAACCAATTTCGCTGAGCATATGTTCCATATAGATTTCGCTATTGGCCCTTTATATTAATAGCTTCACGTAGTATACAAGCAATAATATTTATTTTAAGCTTCTTGACCCAATTCCTTGAACGCATTTCGCACGGTGCAAGCCATCCTTCTATCGCCTTGGCCGGAAACTCTCCCTGCTGCTCCCCTTGCTGCTTGCTGTAGTTAATTTCACCTGCTTACTGTCCATTTTTTGCCTGCAACGGCTGGCGGAGTGGGATAAATGCCGCGACAGCAGCCGAGCTGAAGAAGTTTCTGAAAATCTTGGCAAGCGCGCGTTAAGCTGATTTTCTGGGGCGCTGGCTAAGTTTGCTGGCAAACTTGGCAATTCCTTTGGCCAAATGCAGGCTGAGCCATTAATTGAATTCTGGACATGTCCCGGCGTAAGGCGTATTTATTTTAAGTGAGTTTGGCTAACATATTTTTTTTTTTTCTTACACTTTTTAACGTGTGCGTTGTTTATTTTTACCAAATGCATGTTTGCCATTTATAAATTACAAAAAACGTTTTGAACATCTCTCTTAAGCATATTAAACATATATAGAGCCAGCCAATACAATATTGTGGTTGTTGTACATTAAATAACTTGCAGTTTTAAGTTTGATATGCATCAAAAATCAGTTTTGATGTGTGAATGTTGCACGTGTTCCAGTTCTCTCCAGATGCTGCTCCATCTTTTTATCCTCCATCCTTTTGTGAGTCTCTATGAGTGGGTGAATCATCTATGCTGTGTGTGTTTGTGTGTGTATTTGTGTGTTTGTTGAGTTGTGTGGGTTCTGTTTAGAAGAGCAGCGAGAAGAGGCTTCTTACGCCAGTGGAGCCAGCTCCGGAACCGAGGGTAAAGCCGGTGCTGGGCGTGCCGCTGCTGCGATGCCGCGAGACGTGGCTGGAAACGTTAGCACGGACACGGTCGTAGCTGGCAACATCCTATAAGGAAGGGGTAGAGACAATATAGATTAATCAGTTTGGCGGCATTATTTGGTTGTTATTGCGTACTGGTCAAGCACAAACTCGAGATGCTTGCAGTGGCGGCAGATGTCACAAGTGCCGCATGTGTTGTATATCGACAAGACTCTCACCTCTTTGTCGGCATTGGCCAGCACCGAGCGCATTGAATTGGCCACCGGCCACTTCTTCTTCATGACCAAATTGTTTGGTGGATCGTGGGCAGCGCCCGCATCCACCGACCAAATGGTCACACTTGCGCCACCCAACACCTTTGAGCCGCGCGAGAATTTAAAGGCGAGCTCCTCATCGCCCGCAATTCGCGTCAATTGCCAGCCGGTCAAGTTGATCTCCTCGGTGCCCTTGTTGTGCAGCTTGATGAAGCGACCCTCTGTGTCCGCCTCAATAATTTCCAGATCGCCCTTAGCGGCCGCATTCACCGAGTACTCGGACAGGGTGCGGTCCTCGCTCTCATCGATAACTGTGCGGCGGCGTTTCACTGCACTCGAGCCGGATATGCCCGGTGTAGCGGAACGACGTCCGCTTGGCGTAACACGACCTGAACGAGAGCCACCGCTGGCACTCAAATGGGTGCCATTGCTGGAGATGCCAGAATCGGTGCCGGGACGGCCGGGTGAGGTAATGTTCAGGCGACGCTCCTCGCCGCACAGCAACTTGTCGTAGGCTGCCAGCTCCAGATCCAGCGACACCTTGATGTCCATCAGATCCTGATACTCCTGCAGCTGTTGTGCCATCTCATCGCGCATACGCTGCAGATCTGCCTCCAGTGAGGCAATGTACTGATTATGACGTTGACGCTCCGTGTCCAAGAGATTTTCCAGCTCACGTATGCGTGCCTAATAATTGAATGAACGAAGAATGTATTACGAATCCTAGAGTACCGAGTGCATGGCACTTACATTTAATCCGGCATTGGTGTTCTCCAGCTCCTGCAGTTTGCTGTGGAGGCCATCGATCTTGGTACGCATGAGACGCACCTCCTCGGTGGCGTGCATCGAGCCTTGAGCGGCACGGGCGGCGGCTGCCTTCAGATTCTGTATCTCATTGTCGTAGAGCAGCTCGATCTCCTCACGATTGACGCGCATCTGTGCCTCATACTGATCGCGCAGCTCCTGTAGCGATTGCTGCAGCTTCGCCTCATATTGGCGCGCCAGGCGTCCATCGATTTCGCTGATCTCGATCTGGCGACGCGAACGCGTCTCGGTTAGCTCTTGTGAGTGCACCTGATCCTTGAAGGCCAGCTCCTCGCGCAGACTCTGGTTCTGGTTCTCCAGATCGACGCGTGCCAAAGTCTCGGCCTCCAGCTGCTTGCGCAGATCATCCAATTGCCGGCGCAGACGCTCATTCTCCGCCGCCAAATCCTTAGCCTGATCCTCGGCCTTCTTGCGATCGGCCAAGGCCTGATTGTACTTGCCATTCACTTCGGTGTAACGAGATTCATAGAGGCGTGCATTGTTCTCGGCCACGGTTGCCTCTTTAGTTTTCTTGTCGAGTCTGTGAATGAAATGTGGACGTGTGGGATGTTGTAAGGCGTTACTAATTTACCAAGTGCTTATCACTAGACATGTGCACACCAGCTGATGACGTCATAAACAGTCAACACGCGGCTGTACAACTGATTCACACTCGATCGCTCCCTCCCACTCTGCCTGTCTCTCTCTCGCTCTCTCTCTCTCTCTCTCTCTATTGGAATATCTCATGCATATCGAGCTTTGCTCTCCAGCTCTCTCTTTTCAGTCTAATTTATTATTCATCGCTTGGGTTTCTTTTGGTGGCTGCCTTGAAATCTTCAGATGCCATTAGCATAAAGTAGCCAAGCTATTTTCTACCCAGCATATCTACATGCTCTACCTCCCTCTCTCCCTCTTTCTCGCTCTCTCTCTCTTACGCACGCACCTAATTTATGTGCATAGCTACATCAAACGTTTTATTTTAAATGTGGCTAAAAACAAACTTGTTTATTTGCCTAACAAAAATTCCGCAATCTTTTCAAAAATGTCGTCAACGACTCTCGTGGCCTGCACGTTTTTTTGCCCTGCTAAATTTAGAAAAAATATTTAAATATAAAGAAGAAGAAAAACTGAACTCTTTTAATTAAGCATTTGCAATCAGAATTTCATTTAGATCAAAAAATAATTATTTGCATATAATTATCATGCTGGTTGACCATAAAAGTATCTACAATCAGGCGCCGGCAGCTGCTGAGGCAACTTTTTCTATAGTTTATATTCCCCTCCTCGTTTTCATAATGTTAATTACCTCAAGCCTATTGTAACTTTTATATATTTGGCACTATTTTATTGAGTTCCATTACAAAATAAACAAACAAACAAACAATTTTTGTAGCTAATCAAGACGGAATCCTCAAGGTTGTTTCAGTTCTAAGGCATGCGTGTCAGTCCGCAACTGCCCACACGCTATGCCCCTCGGGTATTTCGGGTATTTCTTGCGATCCCATGACAGGGAAACATAAATAAAAATTCTAACAAGCGACCTAATTTGTTATTGTGAATATTGTTTGTTATAATGTGAAGGCAAGTGTGCGTTAATTGTTGAAAGAAGTTTTTCTATTGGCCTAGTTAAAAAAAAAACCTAATAAAATTGCGCCCAAAAGAAACTTAACATTATCAGTGCATTTCCATAATTAGTGGAAAGGTTGCTGGCCTTTAATGAGCCAAAATATTCTATGAAACTCAGTTATGGAACATATGCGTATTCATACATAATAAATAATATGCTTTGAAGTGACTTTCACAAAGGCAACTCGAATCTGAGAACCCATTGTTTGACATTCACCCCGATCACATTATCAAACATCATCAAACACCAAATAATAATAATATAAAATAGTAAATAAATATATAAAATTATATCAACTTGTGGTCATTTTGACTAAAAAGTAATTGAGCCCGGGCTTGCCCAAGGCACGACTGTACAAACAAATACACCCTCCCATACTTTAGTTAATACCCCAAACACAATGCCGCAAAATAAATATTGCCTTTGATGATAACGGGAACGCAATATTCGAATACGCAATATTCCGAATTTGTTGACATCATAGGGAAGTGGGAGGGTGGGCAGCCAGAGCGACAGCTCCTAACTCCAAAACTGGTATTACATGTTGATCTACTCGCTGCCTATTGGCGGCATTACAAGTAAATACAAAAAAAACAAAAAAGCAAAAACAAAACGTTGTGCGTTATTTTTGGCTTGGAATGACATCATATACATATATGTACATTCGTATGTATACAAAAAATGTACCCGAATATACATATGTATATTCGCTTTTGTTCGCAACCTTGGAAGGGTTTAGGCATTACGTATACGAACTTCGCATGGCGCTCAGCTCTAAGAGTTAAGTGACATTTGCTTTGGCTATTAGCGTAAAGCGCGTATGCGAGAATTGTATTAGATATGAAAAATGTGCTTCCAAGTTTTATTTTTTGTATTTTTGGTGTCTTTGTTGTTGCTTTTGATGTTTTTTTTCGGTTTCGCTTTGGAGATTTCTCGAAACGCAAATGCAAAAAATAAACAAAAACACGCCAAGCAGCCGCATGAGAGAGACTGAGAAAACTGAGCGCGTGTGAGTGTGTGTGTGCGTTCGCGAGAGAGCGACCCTGCCATGTGCGCTGCCAACTGCGGCATGACATCAGCAAACTAATACAAGCAAACTTGCAGGCCTCTCTCACTCTCGCACATACACATGACATCACTGCGAGAGCTGATTAGTGAGCTTTGAGTTTGTTTTTCTGTTTCTAATTCTGTTGTTGTTTTTGTTGTTGTTGTTGTCGTTGTTGTCGATTTTACCTTTGCTTCAAATCATCATTTTCCTCCCACAAACGCTTAATATCGATCTCGAGCTTGGCCTTCTCCTTGGCCGTCTCATCGAGCAGCTTGCGTGCTGCGGCCAACTCCTTCTCGTAGACAGCTTTCAGGTTGGAGGTCTCGCGATTGACGGTATCCTGTGCCAAGTGCAACTCCTGTGTGAGGCGCCCGTTCTCGTTTTCCAAATGGCGCATGCGATCGATGTAGCAGGCGAGACGGTCATTCAGATGCTGCAACTCCTCCTTCTCCTGCAGACGTGTGGTGCGCGTGGGGCTGGTGGGGCTTGTGGCGCCACCCAAGCGCCCCGAGGTCGAGGCTCCGCCAACTGGCGTCGACGTGGAGGCGCGTGAGACGCGTGTGTTAACTGTAACGCGGCGTGCGGACATTTTGGCTTATTTAATTAGCTTTCTTTGTCGAAATATTTTCTAAAAAAATGAATTGAGGAACGCTTTAAGTACGCAACTATTTTTGCTTATTCTTTAAATTCGGTTATGTCTAGTTGTTGTATTTTATATTTTCTAGTTTGCTGCCTAGGCACGTCCGACTGCTTTGACTGTTGAAAAATTACTGTAAGTTGCGGCGTGTTTAGCGCTCGCACGAAAGCGCTACACGTCATCATCATCGACGAAATTAGTAGTCGCCGTCGGCGTCTCTGTCGGCGTCCATAAAATAACAAAAACAACATCATGCAAGTTTGAGAACCAGCGCTTGGCTCTCTCACGCTCACACTTGCATCGAGTGGTTATTCCGCTCACATGTCCAAATGGCGGCCAGCGCTCACTGCCTCAGTGCTTGCCTGCTGCCTGGTTAGCGATTGTTGTTGCTGCTTTCTTTTTCGTTGTTTGTTTGAATTGCTCAGAACGGCGTTGTATTTGTTGTGCAGCTGATTGTTGTTGTTATACGAGAGCGAGAGCCCCAAATAGAAAACACAAAGCAAATCCAACGCAATCAATGCCAAAGCGTACAACTCGTTCAACAAACATTCATATACATACATATATACAAACATTCTATTTAAAAGCTTTCGCCTTGGAGTTTGGGTGAATGTACGCACCCGAAAGGTGTGCTGCTAGGAAGAAAATGCAAATTACATCAAGTGGGACAAACAGATAATCGATACGATTACAATGCATTGGACTGTTGCTGCTCTGTTTACACCCATTAAAATTAACCATTACCCATCCCTGTCATTACGCTCGATTATTGACCAGAGCGGAAGCTGCTCAATTAGTTGTCGAAGTTATGATATAGACAACCGCATGGCAAACTCTGTCAATTGATCAACCACCCACTGGGAGAGCACGTTTGACCGAAACTGCTTAGTGCAATGTCAACTTGTCATAAATGAAATATTTATTGACATGCTTAGCTGGCATTGTTTTTGGTTAGGGCTTGCCCATCCATTGGCTTTCCTAGGGAATGCTAGAGCAATAACAATAAATAACAGCAAGAACAACAATAACAGTTATAGCATGCTTTGAAGGAGAACTTTCCATCTCTCTGTTTCCACCTCTTTTTCTCTCTCGCTCTCCCTCTCTCTTTCTGAGTCGTATCTCTTGTTTTTAGCGGCCGCAAATATTTTTATAGCCGGCAAACTTTTTTGCACACAATCTACATGCACACAAGCACACCTGCCATATATGTACATATACAAATACCGACATACATATGTATGTATGTGGACATGTAGAATAGAGCATGCCGCCTCTCTCACGCTCTTGGCATTCACAATTTGGCATTGCCATTGTGATGCTTGTTCTCTCTCTATTGTTGTTCTTTTGTGTTGCAAACAGTTAAAGCCAGCTGTTAGTTTGAGTGCAACAGAAGGGCTTATCAGTTCTGTGCAGGCCTGTGACGTCATCAGCTTAAAGCCAAAGCAAAAGTAGCAGCAGCAGCAGCAGCAGCAGCAGCAACAGCAACTGACCTCCAATTTAAATATGACGCGAACGTCGGTACTGTGGGACGCTTTGCCGCTTGTCTCGCTCGCACGTATGGATGTTCGATGTGACGTCATCAAATTATTTTTAATTATGGCGTCGACGTTGTCTCGGCTCTGAGCACTTCGGGAATTTTAACATATTTTATGTTTCGTCTTGCCAAATTATAATTCTGTTCAAGTGTGCTTAATGCGGGTACAGTTCAGCTAATTAGGTTTAATTAACGTTAAGCAAAACCGGTGTTAAATTGTTGTTGGAATATAATTTTTACTTGTTTTGCTGCTTTACTTAATGTGCTCTTGTTTATTTTGCTTTCTGCTTATCATTTGTTTGCAGCTTTTGCTTTGTTGTCTCGTCCAAGCTTTTTTTCGAAGTGTGACCAGTGCGACGTCAATTTGTCGCTTTGCTTGATTAATTGTAACCATTAGGGCCATAAATTGATAAGAATTTTGTTTGTTATATTAACAAGTTGTTAGCTTTGGCATTGCAAATGTGTTCATTTACCGCAAGTATGGCCTGGAAGCCACAGGTCTTTCAATCTCATCAATACTGAATCGAATATCGAATTTTTATCAATTCAATTAAATAGGGTAAAAGTTATACTTGCATTACATATTACATTACTCATTGAAATTGGCAATAACAGTAATGAAAATGTAAAAATTGTTAACATTTCTGGGTCATCAGTTATTAAAATCCAAAGCAAAGTTGGAGACATTTTAGACCATTGTTGCAAACCAATAAAGATAAGAAATTGAAACATATTTAATAAATATAGGTTTGATACTTACATTAGATAGTTTAGATATAGGGTATTTTCCAGTCTACAGTCTACATTTCTAAAAATCAACAAATATATTTTTCCAAATTAAATTTAACATTTTCCTCAAATGCTGTCCCTTGACTTATGTAATTGAGTCTGTTATACGAAATCCATTCAGTACAGTTTTCGAAAATTGTATGCATAAATTTGCATAAATTTTCCTCTTGTCATGCTAATGATTTATGCATATTGACATTTGTATCAACAGCTAATATTAAATTTCGTGTCCAACTTCAAAAATGCGTATTTAAATAAATTTCCGGCGCTCGTTTTGATTCCCATTCTCTCAATCTGGCAGTTTGTCCGTTTGTTAGTTTGTCAGTTTTGTATCTGAAAACTTGTTTGTCGTCTTTAAACGAATTTGTCGAAGCAGCTTCCATAACTTCAGTTGTTATTGTTGAAGCCAACAGCAGCGAAGTTTGCCGGGCGCGACTTTCGGCCAACAATAATGACATCATCGCAAGCTCAAACTTTTGAAGTCATGGCAAATGACGTTTACTTTATAAGCCAGAACGAAGTGAATGGCAGTAGAAAAACGGTGGAAAACAATACGTTTAAAGCTCAACTACAAGCTCAACTGCAAATTGCCAACTATCGATTGAATTTCCCAATGAAAAGCCATTTACACGTCGTTATGCAGATAAAGTTGGGACAAACATTCTGCGAGTCTCACTTAATTAACGTTGCATCCAAATCGATAAATATTTATATAAAACTTCTAAACTAAAAATAAAGCAAATATGAAATAAAAGCTCTACCGAACCGTTGTCTTAATACCCTAACCTTGCTTCATGTCGTTTAGCAACATTTTACAATTTACATTAGGTTTGTTTAATACTTAATTTATTTTTGGTTTCTTTCTTAGTCAATTTGTTTGGCCAATGCATATTTATACTTCATCAGTATTTCATCAATACCTTACATCATGAATGATATATTTGATGACCCGCAGCAAGGGTATAAAATGCAAAGCAATAAACAATATAAAAGCAATTGTGCTCGAATTGCGTTTGACATTTTGGTTTGTAATATTTTTTCCTTTTAGTTTTTATTTTTGTATTTTATTTTTATGTATAAATGTTTCTGTCACATACCGAAAACCGCGATGCAAATAAATAATCAAAAAGCAAGCGTGCTGAGACACAAAATGTTAGACTATCTGATACTGTGTATTCAGAAATTCATACAAAATATATAATATATATTATTTTACAAAACGTAGATAATAATGAAAATAAAAATTTGTAAAAACGTTTAAAAATTAGCTAAAATTTTGTCATTGCATGACTTACAAATTGATAGAGTAAGGCACGAATCAAATATGTCTGTCATATAAACAAATAACTAATCTTAAATCTCTGTACTTTTTCACTTTAATTGTAACTCGCATAACTTCTGTTCAACCCTATGTACATTTATTTGGCACAGGGTATAAATGCGCTATTGAAAATCACTTGGAACGTGTTAATATTGCTCGTAGAATATTTGTTATGCAGTCAGCACACACACACACGCACAACACACACACGCACGTGTATTTGAAATATTTACTATTCGTATTTATTCAGTTGGTTATTTATTTAATAATTAAAATTATTTACTGGGCGCATTTTTGCCTGCCTTCGTCCTGTTTGGATTGTGTATGCAAATTGCCTAAAGGGCAGCTTATTACGCATACGCCATGTTGTCAGCATTAACTTTTGTTAATTTTACAGCAAAGCAACTGCAGCTGCTGCTGCAGCTGCAAGTTTTATACAGTTTTGCTCTACTTTGTGCCACGGCAACTGCATCGGCAGCTGGCAAAAGTTGACAGCATTTACATTTTTTCTACGTTCTTCAAGCTACTCAGCATAAGTTAATTTAGTGTTTGTCTTCTGCTGAGATCTTGTTGTGTGTGTGTGTGTGTGTGTGTGTGTGTGTGTGTGTGTGTGTGTGTGTGGGAGACAACTGAAAAGACAGCAGCAAACGGGGCAACATCAGCGAGTTGTGCAACTTCAGCATTTGGCTGGTTGTTTGGTGTCGTTGACTGCAACTTTTGCCACTGCAACTGCGAATTTTATGTATGCTGCATGCACATTTTACATTTTATATATGCAGCTGACGACGCTTTGAACTTTGCGCCCCAGAAACTATGCTGCAAAACATCAGTAAATACGCTTTTTGTGCTTGTTTATGTGAATTGAAATGCGAACGCGAGCGCGAATGTGAATGCGATTTGCGTTTATGCGTGCCACTTAAAGCACGATGACAGCACGAGATGCAAAATGATGTTCCACAAATAAGGAATTAAACAGAAAAGAACTTCTTACAAAGGAAATCAGGTTGTCCTTGCCGAAAATCGAAATACAAGATTGTTTTAGTAGCTGTGAGATATTATATTACCTCTCGCTTTTAAATCTACTCATTCTTGCACATCAGATATTAGTTTACATAGATATTTGAAAATAAGTTGGAAGTTCGAAGGATACAAAACAAAAAGTTGCATATAAAGTTTTCCATACAATCCGTAGGGTGGATAGTTGAAACAAAAACTCTTTCTTTTATGATACACAGCTTTGAAAGTGAGTCGAAATGAAACTTTCAGTCATACAAGCCTTCATTCACATTCTCCTGCCAGGACGGGTGCATTTCCGTAACAAGTCTCATTTTAATTTTCACATCGATTTTTGAAATTGATTTAGAAGCCAATCGGATGGCGCACAACAAGTTTAACGCAGCCGTTTTCCCCCATTATTCACAGTTGCGGGTGGAAACGCCAAAACCTCTTCATGTTATATAACAGAAAGGGAAAGAATTAAAATGTATAGACAGGTAAATACGAGGGAATGTTGGATTCCTTTATAAACTATTTTATATAGAGTATTCAAGGGTTCTTCTTTCTGTTATAGGTTTTCGCACAAGTCTAGTAAACCCGGTCGACACATTCACATTGTTACAGGGTATCCACTCTGCAAGCTGCTTAAATAATTGCAATTAAAATGTTATTTGCTCGACTTAAATCAGCGCATAAACGACCAAAATGTAAAATGTGAAATCGCAAAGAACTTGTTGGCCAAAAAGCTTCAGCTATGAATGCAATTAATTTGAGTAAGTTCGCGCTTAGCACTGCGTGCAGGCAGTGCAATTTGTATAGCCTGGCTCTGGGGCGGGCCCAAATGAAATTTAGCCGTCTAAAAGGTTGGGAGCCAGTTGTGGCAACTGCTGCTTAAAGCCAGCCTAATATGAGTGCGGATGTTGTGCATGTGTATTCGTATTCGTATTCGCATGCGAGTGTGCATTTGCATAAGCAGCTGCCACGCCCACACAGAGACGCCCACGCCCATCGTCGCGCCCATGCCAAAAATGCACTCACCTGTTTTATTTGCACACATCATGCGCTCTATTGAGTTTTTGCGCCCAGGCTACAGCTGCAACTCCTGCCCAATTCCCGCAGCCACTCTCCAATTTCCACCTGCGCCAGCTTAATCAGTCCGACTACGGGGTGGGGGTGGGGTGGCACAGTCTGTTGGCCAAACTGTCGCTCAGTAGCTTAAGTAGTTTCAGAGAAAAACTCCTGAAAAATTGAATCCAACTGGCTGCCACTTGAGCAAACGTTGCCAACTTGTAAAGCGGCAGGCGGGGGCAGCTCGGCTGACAGATCGGATAAGAAGCGAACTCTGATATGGTGTGCGGGAGGATTGTTGTTGGAAAAAATTGGTTGAGCCATCCAAAAGTCGGCGAACTTAAAGCCAATTAAAGCACTTTGTTAGCCAATTAAAATGGCATGCCAACATTTGCTAGGCCCTCCGACCCGGCCCTAAACCAGCGCATATTTGCACGTTGCATAATTGAATCATAGACAAAACGAGTCGAGTCGAGTCGAGTTGAGTCGAGTCGAGTCAAGCACTCGCTGGCAGGCTTCCTCGCTCTTTGTTACCTGTTTGCTCTCAATTATGCTGAAACGTCAACAGCGGCTAGATTGACTTAATTATGTCAGCCGTATACACACACACACACACACACACACACACACTCGACTTGAAAAGGTAAACAAACACGCGTCTGGCAGACTTTTAGGCGACCTGCTCGCGCTGCGCCTTGATTATGCCAAGCAACGAGACAAAACTTTAACAAAACAAACAGAAAATGTGGGTGATGAAAAAAAATGCAAGAATAGTGCAGAAATTATAATTACTAAATAAGGCGGGCACTTGAGACGCGTGTAGACGAGTCGCAGGAGCAGGCGCAGGAGCAGGAGCGGGAGCAGGGGCGGGAGCAGGAGCGGGAGCAGGAGCTGTTCAGACAGGACCAACGACAGTCGCCGGCTGGCAACTTCAATGAACAGTTGGCACATGAGAGAAGTCAGCTGGAAACTCGGCCTAATGAGCAGACTAAGCTACAACGACAAGCAAAAAGTTCACAAAACTGAAGTTGAAGTCCTTTGGCGAGGCGAAGAATCTATGTGGCACATGAAGTGGAAATTTATAATTACAATAACAGCTAATTGGTACTGAAAATCGAATCGACAAAACTGCCATAGAGCAAAGAGTTCAATTTTTTTCATTTACATTTTTTCATACAAATATCTTCTCGAATTGAATATTCACTTCGAATGGCAAAGCAGAGCCTAGTTTCCTCGTCAACCGTACTCTTCATTTCGACACTTGCTTTTCATTCATTCACAGTCAGCCCAGTTTGCAAGAACAATTTGAAAACAAACAACTAAAATCGTTGCACTCGATCCCTCAAACTATGACTTGGAAGAGGAGGCGGCGAAGGTTTAGATCTTTGTAATTTGCTGTGACAGCTGCGGGCGTGGCTGGCTTGATTTTTAAACAAGATCAAGAAGAGTTAGATAAACCAAATGTGATAATATATAACCTATATATACGCTTGGCAAGGGGTATTTAAAATGATGGGATATTTATAATTAAGGGGATTGAGGTAGGTCGCAAGGGAATAACCCTTGGAGATGCACTCAGAACCCTGGCTAAGACCTAGGCTCACAGCTGCGGAATAGATTGTCATGAGCCGAACCTTCGGGCAAGGATCTGGTCTAAGTTTTACTTAGATCTTTACGTTAACTTAACCAAACTCAGCATTATATTACCTTAGCTCCATAAAACGCGTGTACTCATATTTTATTTATTAAATTTTTTTTTGAATGTACACGTTTAATCTATGCCAGTGCTGGCTAAATTTCTATTGCATCACAGATGCCCAACATTTAAGTGCAGCATTTCTTACGTTAAACTGTTTAATCCGCGTTTTCCCGGAGCGCACACAAAAGCGCGTGCCAGAAAAACGCGATTTTCCAACTGCATTTCCTGTTGCCTTCTGCGGCAACTCGTCATGGAGGGCACGTCGCACTCGTAACTCGATGTTAGTCCAAGTCAGGACCAGCAATTATAATGGCGTGTGCCCAACCTGACTAAACATAGAGTTTGGGTAGGATTTCGCAACTTTAACTCATTCTCCCTCTCCCGCTCTCTCTCTCTCTCTTCTGATGCGTATGACTAATTTTGTATGGCATACTTTTAGGCGTTATATACATAATTTTCACTTTGAGCGACAAATTAATGGGCGTTAATGCTGCCAGGTTTCACACACACACACACACAGCCGATACCTAGCTGCTTTGTCTAGCACTTGTGTGTTGACGAGAAAGGGTTGAGGGTGGGGGGCAGCAACTTCCTGTGCTGCTTTCGCTGCGCAGCGGAAGCTGCGGCCAGCGGTTCCACTGGGAGGTGCTTGCCTCGCAGCTGCCAGCTGCGTCAAGCGGAAAATTAGGCAACAGCTTGGCGGCCTTTGAATTAATGCACACAAAATCCCACTGAAGGACTTTCTGACATTGCGACTGACACGCCGGACAGACTGACAGACTGACTGACAGACTGACAGCTTAAGCGGCTGGCGTCGAGTGCCATTGAAAACGCAATTTGGCGGCCAATTGATGCGCAGAGCCGTTCATTAAGCAATCAATTGGCAATCGGCAATCGGCAATCGGCTTGCCACTTGAGTTCTTTTGGCCATTAAACAGCCGTTTGATTTTCTCGCTTTATTTTCCGTGTTCTTTGCAGATCATTCGCGAACGACTTCCCGATTATCCGGTGCGCAGCAGCCTCGTCTGGAACTCAGCGCCGGGCGCCCTTCTCACACTTCCCACATTTGCCGATAGTTCTAGGTAAGATTCCATTTCGGTAGACAGGCAGGCAGGCAGCAAGCGCGCCTAATTAAATTTACATTCCACAGCCATTTTGGGGAGCATTGAAGTGTTTTGCCATTAACCTAATTGCCTTGCCCATTTCAGATTTATGCCCTTCCTGCTCAATGCGATGGGTGTGGAGCCGCGTCACAACTACACGGCCGTTATCTATGTCCAAATTGGCGCCGCCCTCGGCCCCAATGCGGCGCTCTACAAACTAGTCAGGACCATTACGAAGAGCCAATTTGTGGATAGAGTAAGTATCGAAATTGGACTTGTCCAACTAGCACGCAATATGATAGATAACTTTAAGGGAAATCTATAGAGATGGTTGAACTGCAAAAGTTAACATTTGGATACGATCTCTCATATCTATTGAAAGGGATATGAATGCCTAGAGCAAGTATTAAAGAGCTGTTGCATACATAAGCTTAAAGCGATAGAAAACGGAATCCGTTTATAACGTTTACTTCGGTAGATTGAATTTATATATTTACCTTTTTCTTAATTTGCCTTTCCTTATTTTCTCATGCAGATACTTGTCCTGTGGGCCGCCGATCGACCGCTGCCACTTAAAAAACGCTGGCCGCCCACCTACCACATACCCCTGCATGTTATTGCCCTGGGGGGCAGCAGTCGTGGGGCGGCAGCGTCGCCCACTGCGCAAACAGGCCAGGAGGGAAGACCCAGCATATCACAGCGATTCCTGCCCTACGAGGAGATACAGACAGACGCTGTGCTCTCGCTTGACGAGGATGCCATACTCAATACGGATGAGCTAGACTTTGCCTACACGGTCTGGCGAGACTTTCCGGAACGCATTGTGGGCTATCCGGCGCGAGCGCATTTCTGGGATGACTCCAAGGTGAGCGAGGGACAAGAAGGGGCTCACAATATACGAACTGCGGCTGATGAAGTTGTTCTTATTTTTTTTAGAATGCCTGGGGCTATACGTCCAAGTGGACGAACTACTACTCGATCGTACTGACAGGGGCGGCGTTTTATCATCGCTACTACAACTACTTGTACACCAATTGGCTGTCGTTGCTGTTATTAAAGACTGTACAGCAGTCCTCCAACTGCGAGGATATCCTAATGAACCTGCTGGTCTCGCACGTGACCAGAAAACCGCCGATCAAGGTGACGCAGCGCAAGGGTTACAAGGATCGGGAGACGGGTCGCTCCCCATGGAATGATCCCGATCATTTCATACAGCGACAGAGTTGTCTCAACACATTCGCGGCGGTATTTGGGTAAGTACATTAGCTTCTTATACTCATCCAGTTGATTGTTTATATTTATTGCCTGTACCTGAGCGAAATGTGTACTGCCTCTGTGGAAATGCAGATGATAGACAGAAAGAGGCTTTTCCGATCTCAGTATATAATTTGGGTTAGCATCAGATCGATTTGTCAACTCGTCGAAACAGAGACTTTAAATTTGATACTTATGTTCTCTTCTAACAGTTTGTTTCAAATTATCGATATCTCGCACCGTGTTCACAAAATCGACATATATCGATTTTGTAAGAATATACCGTAAAAAAAACTCTCTTCTACAGAGTGAAACTAGCTAAAATGTTACATATGGGTTTTTGATATGGGGTTCCATTGATCAGAAAGATTTAAATTTTTGTACACTATATTTTAATAACTAATTTAGAGTCAGCAAAAGACGACGTCATCTCGTTAGGGTTTTTGTTATAGTTCTTCGAGTAGTGAAGCTCGTGATTGTTGAGATTGCTTAAGATATCTTTTAAAAAACGAGCATGACTATATTAAGAAAATCTTTCATTCTGTTTATCTTTGTCCAATGCTCATAAATTTAAAAACTTCCAATTGATTTGTTTCTATATTAACAGCTACATGCCGCTCATACGTTCCAACTTGCGCATGGATCCCATGTTGTATCGCGATCCGGTCTCCAATTTGCGCAAAAAGTATCGCCAGATCGAGTTGGTTGGCAGCTAGCGATATGTGCAAATTGGCAATAGCTACAAGCGTTAAGAGTACTGAGATTCCCTACCCGCACACACACACACACACACATACGCACACAGACATCCACACACATCTATGCCACGCGCAGACAGCAGTCCATACACTCACACACACAGACACAGACACACACACATACGACGGACTTTATAAACTGCTGTTCATTGACGCTGCGAAGCGCCGCAAACTATGTTAATTATTATTAGTAGCAAAAATTAGTTAGGATTTATGAAGCGTATATATGTATGTATATGTATGTAACTAAATAGCATTCAGCGTTGCAATTATATATAAATTTAGTTATATATTTACAATGCATATTGTACACACACACACACACACCGACACACACGCAGACGCACGGACACACATCGGATTTGTGTATGTATATAGATGAACTCTGATTAGGCCTAGTTAAGTTAAACTCCCTCACGTGGGAGAACTGAGCAAGCGGAATGCCATTTTTTGCTAATTTCAAATTAGCACTGCAAGTTTTTTATATATATACGATAAATATATGTATATATATATATAAATATACATATTTGCATATACATACCATATAACATATATATATATATATATGTGTGTGTGTGTGTGTGTGCATAAGTAGCCGATTTTGTACTGTGTAAAAGCGACGCGTTTGATTTTTGTATGTGTAAATGTTTTGTATGTATGTCTGCCGTATTGTAACTGTAATTGTTGTAACTCAATGATATGATATTGAATCGATATGATATATAAGCGTATATGTATATGTATATGTATTTGTATAGTTAGTTAGTGTTATTATCGATGTGTGTCTGTAGCCATACTTACGTTGATATAAATAATGGCAGATGTTTAGGCTTAAGCTTGCAAAGATATTCCTTAACGATAATTATAAAAAAAAAAAAAAACAAAAACTGTGGCCATTATATCGCAATAACAATAATAATCAAAGAACAAGATGAAAAAGGTGAAGAAGCTACAAATGAACGAACTCAACAGCCATGGTACAATGTGCACAAACAAACCAGAGAGAACATTCATGTATTTTCGGTATACCGAATATTTAATACCCTTGCAGATATATCAGCTCAATTCGGACTGCGTCATAGATATTTATATATCAGTCTGTTAAAGCCCAATTAAACCCACAATAATAAAACTTCCAACCAAATAAATGATTTAGTGAGCCAAGTCAAGGCCTGATCGAAGACTCTGCAAGGCTATCAAAGTAATTTAATTATATAATAAATGTCTTCGTTTCATTCGTATTTTGTGTATTCCTAATTATTTCTTAGCTAAACTATTTCTAGACTATTATATTGAATGTGCAATTTCCATTTTACAGTTCAAGAAGAATGTGTTTCATGAATATTTTTAAAAGTCTCACTCGGCTATAGCTTTAGCTTATTGCGGCCATTTAATATACGTATGTATATTGTAGCAATCGATTATCAATTATATAAATAATATGAATACGCAAATCCTTAAGCTATACGCTCGCATATCAAGTGCATACATATGACAGTTTTCTTACTTTTTTACATTTAATATAATTTACAATAGATGTGTACAAAAGAAAAAAGAAGTTGAAAAGAAAAAAAAAACAAAAACAAAATTTAACACATACATAAATAAAAATATTTTTACAAAAATATACACGAAGCATAACAAATATTTTGTTATATTTTCTAAGAAATTCGTTTAGTTTTTCATTTAGTTTTGTTTTATATTTTCGAATACTTTCGTTTTTGGTACAAACCAAGTGCATTGGGCAATAAGAGTAGAAGAAACACGAAACTACATAGAATGTAAAATGTAGCAAAATGCAATAATGTTTAGCCGGAACATATCATAAGGGTTTGCTGGCAACGTTGCTGCCTTGGAAGTCAAGAAAGTCGAGGAAGACTTGGAGCACTTGGTAGCTGTGCATCTGCATGGAACGTTGCCTCAACTGTGGACTGCCGCCAAGCAAATTGTTTAGCATTTATCATTGGAAATGCTTATCTGCAATACATATACAAATAGAAATACAAACTCGAATGCAATATGCTAAATTTGTATGTAGATTGCAAATGTCTGACAGGGGCACAGGAAGACAGACAGGCACGAATGCAATGAATGCGCCCTATCAGGCATCAGCATGCACATAAATCAAATATTTGAAATATTTTCTGCGTTTACGACTAAATAATAATCAAAAATTCCAGGCTGAGGACATGCATACACAGACACACACACACACACACATACACGCACACTCACTGAATTCATAGGAATAGAAGTAAAACTGGAACAAGAATACATAGAAAATAACATAGCTCTATTCGAAAATGAAACAAGAACATTTTTGTACAGTGCGTTTACTTTTTGTATCTGTGTGTAAACTATTTGTATTATACTCGTATTTTGTGCATTTGTATTTGACACAAACCAGAAACAGACTATGTCACTTTTTATACATATTTAACTAACAAAATATAATGTTTAAAAACAAAACAAAAACAAAAGACAAACAATTGACCAACAAAAAACCAAATCTACAATCCTACAACATATACACAACACCCGAAAATACAACACACAAAATTATTAAATTCATATGGAGAAACCAAAAATATGAAAGCTAAACTATGAGCAAAACACATTTGTGTCCCTCAACAAATAATTAATAATAATGAAAGAATATTACATACGCAGCTAAAAAAACAGCTAAAAACGTTAATCAACAATATTGCATACCATTACCAAAAAAAAAAAAAAAAAAAAACTAAACTAAATGCAAAAATTTAAATGTTGTGATACGATTGACATAGTAAAAACTTATTACCAGCAACAAAAAATACCATATAGCATACTCGTCGTGGAGTGTACGTGCTTTCAGTTTTTATCCAGTTTGAGCTTTTTCAATTTATTGCATTTGCATTTTAAAGATAATTGAGCATAATCAATTATTTTGCCACATTTAACAGATGAGGGAAACGCGACGGCAAAAAGCATTTCAATTTTTTTATTACTTTCCTTGTTTTTTTTTCTTTCGCTTCTTTGCATATGCAGATTTAAATTGAATCAGCGCCTGCGTTTAAAGAAATCTGTGAATAAAATACATTTTTTTTTCAATAAATGTTTATACGTTTATATACATGCGAATAGGTTCACTCGAGGTGTGATTTTTCAACAAGTATATGAAAGCTTTTGAAGATAAAAGAATTCAGTTCTGAATCTCTACTCTGTTTATTTAAGATCTGTACTGAAGATAATTTAACTTCTATCTTTAGTTTATAAATGCAGAGAGAGAAAGAGTGAGGGAGAGGGAGACAGAGAGAGAGAGGGAGATAGAGAGAGAGTCTTAATAGCAGACAATAAACTTGGAATTCTAAAGTCGTTTTCATTCTATTAAGTTAGAAAAGTTCCTCAACAGGACAGATTCAAGAACTTATTGCGAAAAAACTTAAAGCAAATCTTATTTATATTTGCTTAAATCACAGTTGAACCTATTCACTTGGCCATTTATTGTATTTCGAATGAAATTTTGGACACACAACAAGTGTGTGCCATTTCAAAGAATTTTTTAATTACAGAGTTTTCTGTAATTTTATATTGACGTTAATGCAGTTGTAATTTGAGGTTTTAAAGCCCGATAGAAAAATGCGCCCTTAAGCATGCAACACTTTTTTGCCTTTCGTTTCTCTATGTATCTTTTGTACATACACATACACAAATATTTGTAATATGTGCAGCTGCTACAAAATGGTAATTAAAGTGAATGTGCTTAAACTATTGCAAAGTTAAAGTTGTTAACGCTTAAGGCAAAACGAGGAGAAACATAAATAAGCAGTCCATACTATCAAAACACAGAAACATAAACACAATGTAAATTACATAAATGAAAACTCCAATCTAGTAAGCATAACATATAAATATAACATAATAGTTATTATATTATTGAACAGCAGCTCGCGCCGAAACAGCAAAACAACAAAAAAAAAAAAAAAACAACAAATGTGATTTTTGAATAAAAATTAAAAGAAATGAAACTCGATGCCTATCATTCAATCACTCGCATGCTTCAGCTGCTGCAACTGAGCTAATGTAGTTTCTATTAACAAGCTAAGAACAACTACAACAACAACTCGCCGACAGACTCAACACCTTGGCGAAAGTTTGCGAAACGAATTAGCAAAGTTTTTAGCAAGGAACACGAAACATGTCGCTGTCCTCTCCGAAAAATAGTTTTTCAAGCAGGTGAGTTGCCGACATATCTTTGGAAGTGCACATGTATACGAGTGTTGTGCACACACACACACACATATACATACACATATACGTAAATAAACATCTGAAACTTTTACCCAACAATTTCTGCACCTGCAAATTAATAAATTGCATTGCTTTGGCTCCGGCTCCGGCTGCGGCTGCGACTCTAGGCGAAATTCGCCGCCTAAAAGCATGCAATGAAATTTCGCGGTTTTTGCACACTTTTCCATGCAAATAGTTATGATAAGGAGGGCAGAGTCCGACGAAGTGTAATGGTAGATATATGCACACCTTTACCAAATTTTACTCTCAATGTGAACTGTTTGCAAGAAGCGTTGAAATCAGTGCAATAGATGAATACGATTTAAAAGCTGAAGAACTTTGATCCGGGCTGGCATCCCAGACAAGTGCATGAATGTAAAACTATCTTAGCCGATTGCTATAGACCCTAAGGCTATCTTAAAAGGGAACGTGAGTAGTTATTAAGAAATAAATAAATTGTAAGGTTTTTTTTGCATTTAAACAAAGATTGGCTAAACTTAAGCAAAAAACTCTCAATATTTATATCTAATTTCTATTGTTTTTAAAGCACAATGCTTTTTATAAGAAGACAAGCTGCCGACACGGACTTCGCTTCAATGTTGTTGTCCTCAAAAATCAGGAAGATTACTCAACAGGCAAAACAACAGGCAAAACAAGAAGAAAGAGCTGAATATTCAAATTGGGTATATAAAATCATGAAATAAATAGACAAACTTTCATGCTTTATTAACAAACTGTGCCGAAAATCGAAAATGCAGTATTCATGTAGAAATGAGTGTATATTTGTATATGTACGCATGTATGTATGTATATAAGTATGTATGTATAGACGTGTGCAGGTAAGAGCTTATGTTTTTTGGTGTTTATGAAAATAAGAGTTTGATGTGCAGCCATTAAAGTATGCGTGTATTTGGATGTGTCTGTGTGTATATGTCTGTATGTATGTATAGCATAAATATGTATGCACATGTATGTAAGTATATGTGTATGTATGTTTGTAATATTGTCTGTAAGTATACAAGTATTTTGTACCAAGGCATACAAGTATATATATGTGCGTGTGTGTGTTTGTGTGTGCATATGTAGGTGTGTGTGTGTGTGGGCGTGTGTGTGTTAGTGTATGCATGCATGTATGTATGCATTTATGTATGTATGTTTGTTTTTTAATACCAAACGCAGAACAACCTTATTAGTCGCTGTGCTGCAAATTTAAATTTAACGAACTTTTATGAAGTGCTCTACTCCTCGATTCTCAAAAGTTCAAGTAGGCTCTGCAGTTTTCCATGCCCAGCTAGTAGTTAGTGGCTTTTTTTTTTGTATTTTTTTTTTGGTGATTTGTTAAGTATTTTTTTTTGGTATTTTTGTCGGTATTTTTGGACAATTGTATTCAGTATTTTTTAGTATTTTACTTGTTAGTATTTTTATTTTTTTTTTAGTATTTTTTTTGTATTTTTAGTGCATGTATGTACATATAAATGTATGAGTGTATGTACATGTATGTGTATATATGAACATGCATATGGATGTATGCACATATGTATGCATATATGTATATATGTATGTATGTATATATATATATATACATATATACATATATATATATATATATATATATATATAGTGACATATCCATAGTCGCACCCACCCTTTAACATAACTTAGCACATAAGCATAAGCACAATTATAAACATTTCTAATATTGTAAACAAAGAGCCTGGTGATAACATCGACATTGGTCAAGATCAAACTGTCCCCCTTTGGTAGACATAAACAATTCACCCTAAATATCACGCCACTGTCAATGTTCCCATCAGAGTACTATCCCACGCATAATTGCTGACGCAGCTCAAACTTCACTCAATTTTGACTCAAACTCTCTCAAAGCGAAGTTTGCTAAGCGACCGCAACAGTTAGATAAATCAGTTCATATTCGGGAAGCAAATCTGAATGTACTCAACAAAAGTAGCCGTTAAGTGAAAATAATAAATTGAAATATATTTTTTTATAGTAACCTAACGTGTAAAACTTAATTGGCGCAGCCGGTAGGATACGTCGGGAAAAATTAAAGATCGCTAAAGGATAATTAATTCCCAGATCTAACGCACAATCGCGACCGAAAGTGTTGTCGGAGTGTAATAAAAATTTTCTCGAATACGTATCCGCACAAGAACCTTCGGGTCATTAGTAGCTTAATAATATTGACCCTTTGGGCAATAAAGCTACTACAGTTAATAACGACTGGCTTTGCATATCGTTTGATCCCTGCAATACGTTATTACTGAGTCTTTTTAAGACACACACACAAAAAAAAAAAAAACATTTACACAATAATCCATCACAAACTTTAACTTAAAATAAAAGTGCAAAATCAAAGAACAATAAAGTTCAAACCTACAAACTCAAAACTATTCAAAAAAAAGTGTATTACACCAAGATGACAATGGAATTATCAGAACAACACCTCAACCAGGCCCTTTCACAACTTAGACAGGTGCCAAGCTTTGACGGATCAACGGATCAACTAAACGCCTTCATTAAAAGGATAGATTACATCCTACACCTGTATCCAACCCGAGATGTTAGACAACATAGCATCTTATACGGAGCCATCGAATTGCAAGTCACAGGAGATGCTCAGAGAATATCACAAAGGACAGCAGCCAACACTTGGCAGGAGCTGAGAAACGCATTGATTGAAGAATACAAAGTGCAGACACCATTTGAAGAACTCCTTCGACGCTTATACAACACGAATTACCAAGGAAACGTCCGTAAGTTCATCGAGGAGCTCGAGAATAAATCTTTTGTTATTTTAAATAAGTTAGCACTAGAAAATATACCTAGCAATACAACCCTTTATACAAATGCTATGAATAACACAATCAAAGATGTTATTACAAAAAAATTACCAGATAGGCTTTTCATGATGTTAGCCAGACACGACATTACGTCGACACAAAAACTAAAGCAAGTAGCTCAAAGAGAGGGATTATATGAAAATAGCGTTACTGAAAAACCTAAAAATAATAATGTTCAGGGAAATCCAAATAACAATCGTAGGAACATGGGAAATTATCAGCAAAATGCTAACCCAACCACCATTTCAAGTGGCTATTCCAACACGAATCAGAGTTATCACGCACAAAATAAACAGCATAATAAGTCCGAAGACAATCAGAAAGCTCACCACGAGTTCCAACAGAAATTAAGTCAAGGTAGATACCAAAATCCCTTAAACTACCAAAATCAGTCCCATTCACGCTTGAATGCACCAAACCCTCCGACTAAACGTCAAAGAGATAGTAACAGTGGGCAGATGAAAATGGATACATCCGAAAATTTTCATCAGCAAGCCTCGGAACAAACAGAAGAAATCCATTCATAAAATTGATTATGAATGACGAAGTTCTAAAATGTGTCATCGACACAGGTTCAACCATAAATCTAATGAAAACAAACCGCTTAAATTTTCCAGTTTACAACGAAACATTAAAGGTTCACACCATAAATGGTGTTATTGAATTAAAACAAAGTATACGATTAGGAGCAAGCAAAATTTGTCCGAGCAAACAAAAATTCTATATTCACGACTTCTCAGAGCATTATGATGTTCTGATTGGGAGAGAATACCTTGAGGCATGTCAAGCAAAAATAGACTATGCACAAGGATCCGTAACCTTAGGAGAATTTAACTTTTGTTTTAGATATAATGACGAAGAGGTCGAAGAGGACATGACCGCACAAGAGTGCCTTGATCCACCCTCAACAGAGGACAGACCATTTAACTTCGCTATTAATAATGAATTAATAGAAAACAATGAGTTTAGGCTAGAGCACCTAAACTCAGAAGAAAAAGAAAAAATAAAAAAAGTTTTACATGAATTTCGTGATATCCAGTACCATGAAGGTGACAATTTGACTTTCACTAGTACAATTAAACACAAAATTCTAACGAAACATGAGGACCCAATTTACAAGCGTCCATACAAATATCCTCAAATATACGATGAGGAAGTAAATAAACAAATAAGCGATATGATAAAACAAAATATCATACGTAAATCCAAATCCCCTTACTGCTCACCAGTAATAATCGTTCCAAAGAAAAACGATGCATCTGGAAAGCAAAAATTCCGGTTAGTCATAGATTACCGCAATCTCAATGAACTAACTATTAATGATAAATACCCTATCCCGATCATGGATGAAATATTAGACAAACTTGGAAAATGTCAATATTTCACAACCATTGATCTAGCCAAAGGCTTTCACCAAATCCAAATGGATCCTGGTTCAATACCCAAGACCGCATTTTCGACTAAACATGGCCATTACGAGTACACTCGCATGCCATTTGGTCTTAAGAATGCACCTGCAACGTTCCAACGTTGTATGAACAATCTCTTAGAAGATTTAATTTTTAAAGATTGTCTGGTCTACTTAGACGACATTATTATTTTTTCCACTTCATTGGAGGAACACATTTTGTCGCTACAAAAGGTATTTAAGAAGCTTAGAGAAGCTAACTTAAAACTACAGTTGGATAAATGCGAGTTTATGAGAAAAGAAACTGAATTTCTCGGTCACATCATCACAACTGAGGGTATAAAACCAAATCCCAACAAGATACAAGCAATTGTCAAATTCCCAATTCCAAAAACCCCAAAAGAAATTAAATCATTTCTAGGATTATGTGGTTTCTATAGGAAATTTATACCAAATTTCGCTAATATAGTAAAACCATTAACACTTAAATTAAAAAAGGGAGCAAAAATCAATATAAAAGACAGAGACTACGAGCTAGCGTTTGAAAAGCTAAAAGTACTCATAACATCCGACCCAATTTTAATATACCCTAACTTCGAAAAACCATTTTCATTAACTACAGACGCGAGTAATATGGCAATAGGGGCCGTCCTTTCGCAAGAGCATAAGCCTATATGCTATGCAAGTAGAACTCTCAACGAGCATGAGTTAAATTATTCAACGATTGAAAAAGAATTATTAGCAATCGTTTGGGCCACTAAATACTTTAGGTCCTATCTCTTTGGTCGACAATTTCAAATCCTTAGTGATCACAGACCACTCGTCTGGTTAAATAATATGAAAGAACCTAACATGAAATTACAAAGGTGGAAGATCAAGCTAAATGAGTTTGATTTCCAAATTAAATACGTCCCAGGAAAAGAAAATTATGTGGCAGATGCTCTGTCCAGAATTCAATTAAACGAAAACTTCTTAGGCGAAGATACAATTAGCACAAGAGCAACAATACATAGTGCTCAAGAAGACAACAGTAACCATTTACAAATCACAGAAAGACCACTTAATTATTATAATCGACAAATAGAATTTGAAAAAGGAAAGAAATTAGATATCCTTATATTTAACTTACAACACTTTACAGAATATATAGAAGACATTGAGATGGGAATGCAGCTCACAAGATTAGGAATTTTTAACCCAAAATTACTAAAACATGACTATTTGTTGCATGTTAATTCTGAGAAATTGTTGAATACAAAAACTTCCACTTGGTTTAAATCAGATACAAACGAAATACTGATAATATCCCATATTCCTCGAGAAATAATAAAAAGCCCGGTATTCGAAATAATTCCATACCCGGATGAAAATAATAATATTTTGACAGAAATAGCTCATGAAAAATATTTTACCCAAGATAAAAAAGTTTATAGCAGAGAAACAAAAAAATTAATTAATAATGAATGTTTAACAGGAATTTTAAACCAAATAACATCAGAATGTAGTTATACTAAAATTTTGCAAAATTTTCAAATCAACTACATAGAACCAAATATAATTTTAACTTGGAATTTACCAAAAACTATATTAAACCATAATTGTATAAATAACGAAATAACAATAGAAGGAAACAATATAATAAAAATCTTTAATTGTTCATTGCAAATTAATGAAATTTCAATTTCAAACAATATGTTAGATTATACTCAAAGCATTTACGTAAGCAATGATGTTATAAAATTAGAACCACTTTCGTTTGTACAAACGAAACAAATTATAAATGCACATACAAAATTTAACAATGTATTCCAGATAATTACAATAACCATATTTGTAATCATATTAATAAGTTTAACACTGTATTTGACATATAAGTTCAAAAGCATACCTAAGAAATTAATTATAAAATATAAAAAACCCAAAGTAGAAGAAACACCTACAATAATAGGAGATATACCAATTCTAAAAGAAGAAAATGTTACACTATATCCAAACTTAAACACCTGAGGACAGGCACTTTTCTAATGGTTGGGGGAGTGACATATCCATAGTCGCACCCACCCTTTAACATAACTTAGCACATAAGCATAAGCACAATTATAAACATTTCTAATATTGTAAACAAAGAGCCTGGTGATAACATCGACATTGGTCAAGATCAAACTGTCCCCCTTTGGTAGACATAAACAATTCACCCTAAATATCACGCCACTGTCAATGTTCCCATCAGAGTACTATCCCACGCATAATTGCTGACGCAGCTCAAACTTCACTCAATTTTGACTCAAACTCTCTCAAAGCGAAGTTTGCTAAGCGACCGCAACAGTTAGATAAATCAGTTCATATTCGGGAAGCAAATCTGAATGTACTCAACAAAAGTAGCCGTTAAGTGAAAATAATAAATTGAAATATATTTTTTTATAGTAACCTAACGTGTAAAACTTAATTATATATATATTCATATATATGTATATACATACATGTATATATGTATATATGCATATCGTTAAAACACGTATTCATTTAGTTTTATGAATTAAACTTCAGGTCAGTCAGTCAGGGCAAACAGTTGATGTGATGTGTTTTTGTATTCAATTTATAATGTTCTTAAATATCAATTGAATACAATCAAAAGGGAACTTTGGCTATTGCCTTTGATCAAATATAAAGGCTTTTATGGAAATTAAATATGTAACATATGAAGGCACAGGACGAAAAACATTACGATCCAGAATTAATACAAAGTGGTTCTTGAAAATGTTACGATAACACGAGAATACAGCCTATCATAAATAATTCTGGACGAGTCGGAACAAAAGATAGCACAGCAGAAGCCGGGTAAGAACAAGAAGAACGAAATGGCCATTCATGTGTAAGAAGCATGGGGAAATTCATAAATTCCGGACTTAAGCATGATATCTGCTTCTCCTAAAGGAACTTAATTGTTATGAAAGGTAAGTAGCACTAAAGTATTCTCTACAAACCCATAGCAAGGAGGAATAACTAAGTTTCTCGCTAATATTTTTTTATTGATTATTATTTACTGTAAGAAATATTGAAAAGATAAAAACAAATGTGGTCATAATGGAGAAAAGCGTCTAGTAAAGCGCGGGATAGTAAGCTCTGTTGGTAATGCCGCAAAGATTCTGCTTGTTGCGTGCCAGTCTCATGTAGCCCTTCTCTCCCCAAGTAGAGCCCAATGAGGTCTTGATAATCCAATAGTCGCCGAAGTTCTTGCAAGTGCCAAAGCCGACAATAAGCACAGCAAAATCTGGACTCTGGCCACAATGGGAATTATGGAACACGCCGCTCTTGTAGTTAATAATTGCAGCCTGAGGAATGACGGCAGCAATCGGGCCTTTGGCCACGTTGTAGGCCAATTCGTTTTCATTGCCGGGCCGAACTTGGATAATCTTTTTGACTTTGGCTCCAATAAGTTTCCGTTGGAATTGACACTTTCCTGTGATGCCTCGGTACGGATAAGAAGCCTCAGTGTCAATGCCTCGCATCCTCTTGATGCATATCAGAGCGTTCACCGTCAGTTTGTTATGTTTGCCGCAGCAGTCAACGAGATTCTGTTTAGAAAGGGCAACCAATCTTCCAGATTTAATGAACTGATGACTCTCCACAACTCCAGCCGCAGCGAAGGCCCACGAGTTGTTGAAATGTCCCTGGTTCATAACAGGAGTGACGGCCCCCAATTGCGTCCAGTTGACTTTTACGGGCATGTCGAGATCAAGGTCCCCAACTTCGTTCAAATAGTCATTGGGCTCAGGCTCTAGGTCTTCAATAGGGTGCTCATCATCGTTGTTTGCAAAACCCTTGCTGATCTCCGAGGGCAACATATCGGTGAACTGATTCACACCCATCTCGTAGCTCTCCTCGCCTGCGGCCCAACGCTCGTTGTGTGCGTCAATAATTTTATTATTATCCTGAAAGATCAGCATGCGCAGCTGCTCCTCCGACTCGTCGCCATAGATCTTATCAAACTGGAATTTAAAGTCGTCCCACTCCCTATTCGGTTGCTCGGAGTAGGTTGCCCCGCCCAGTGTGCATGCAGCAACTCCCAGAAGAGCTACAATCACAAACGCTGCCTTCATTTTGATTTCAGTGCACTTCTATAGATTAACAACGACTGATGCCTGCCTGCCGTACTGCATCCACTTTTATACCCAGCACTGACCGCATATTGGCAAATGATTCAGTCTTTATATATCCCTTGATAACCTCAGTCCATATACGTTAATGCGGGCTGCGGGCTCAACTTTTAATATATACTATTAATTGCAAATATAACTTTATTTTGTATTGGCCTTAAAATTTCAACATTCAAAATTTTAGCTTCCAATTTCTATTTATATCGGAGAGAAGGGAACTAACCAAGGCTTAAACTCATGGATGTGGTAGCCGATGTTCGAGAATCGAACGACGATTTTATATCGTAAACTGAACCAGAAAACATTTCTGGGCTTATTTTTGTTTTCAGTGTACATCTCTAGAAAGAGGTGCCGAGGTGTAAGGCTAAGATTATAAAGCTCTAGCAGAGGAGATATCAAGTATAAAATTGTCAATTATTTACAGCAGATTTGATTGAAACACCCAATTGCTTGCGAATAAAATCAGTTTAATCATTTTTTGCAAATATATCAGGCAGAGGGGAGATTATTCGCCAACCCCTTAAATATATTTATATAGTAAACTTTATTTAATGTTATCGATGAGCTGACGTTCTTAGAAGCTTTTATGAAAATTATGCCCAATTTTTGATGAAATAAGACTAATTTTGACGGAGTATGACAATATCTTTTTCTACAAATTATTTTTCCCCGTTTTATACAGTTTTAAGCTGATTTCCTAAAGAACTCCGCTTGGATCTATATAACATTCATATGCTTGTAAATAAAACCATGTACTTATTTATATGTAAAGTATGAATCATTTATTTGTCCAAAGCATTTTTCTATTATTATAAAATATATAAAATTATAGAAGCTCTAGTTAGATGCATACTTTTATATAACTGGATAGTAAGCCCTGCTTGCAATACCGCAGATATTATGCCGATTGCGCGCCAGCCTCAGATAGCCCTGTTCTCCCCAAGTAGCGCCCAGTGAGGTTTTCAGTAGCCAATAGTCTCCATAGTTTTCACAATGCCCATAGCCGACAATGAGCACAGCATAGTCTGGGGCCTTGCTGCAACTCGTGTTGTGGTAAACGCCGCTCTTATAGAACCGTAGCGCATCCCGAGAAATCACAGCGGCAACCGGACCGGCGGCGACATTGTGGGCCAGGGCCAACTCATTGCCCAGAGGGCTCTGCAGGTGCCTGCGAATTTTCGCACCGACGAGCTTCTTTTTGAAACGGCAACGGCCAGCCGGGCCTCGGTAAGGATAGGATGCCTCCGTATCAATGCCGCGCTTCCTCTTAATGCACTTTAGCGCATTGAATGTGCGCTTGTGTTTGGTGCGGCAGCAGTCGACCAGGTTCTGCTTCGACAATTTCACCAATCTTCCAGAGGCCACAAATTTTCTGCTTTCCACGGCACCGGCTGCCGCAAAAGCCCACGAGTTGTTAAAGTGGCCCTGGTGCTGCACAGGAGTGACTGCGCCCAATTTCCGCCAGTCGACGTCATATGGGTGCGGCTCGGAGTTGAGCTCCACATCGGAGGTGTCTTCGTCCGCTTCCTCATCATCGCGGCTGCCGTCATTGCCAGTAATTAGCTCATCAAACTCTTTTTCTAGCAAATCAGTAAAGTGATTGACTCCCATCTCGTAGCTCTCCTCGCCTGCGGCCCAGCGTTCATTGTGTGCATCAATAATCTGCTTGTTGGCCTGGAATACCTGCATACGCAGACGATCCTCCGACTCGTCTTCGTAATTCTTGTTGAATTCCAATTTGTAAGAGTCCCACTCTGCTGCCCGCACATCAGCGAGAGTTATTCCAGCCAGGGCGTAGCCCATTGTCCCAAAAAGGGCCACAAGCACGAGCGACTCCTTCATTTTGCTCTGACTGTTGTCCGATTCATCACTTACTTCCATTTATATACCCAGCCCAGTATGCGATATTACGCACTCGAAAAGCCATGATTCAGCTTCGATAATGTTATAAACTAATTGCCGCCTAGCCCGCATGTCCTTGAAATGCTCCAGACTTATATCATGACCGCAAACTACTCTCAAATATATATCAGACCAGTTATATATGGACACGATCGTTCATCGTTCACCTTAAGCATCGATCAGTTATATGACAATTTACTGCCTCATTAAAACATTTGCTAGATATTTTTGAGGTAAGTCAAAAAAAGTCCTAAATTATATAGATCCTTGATCTGCCGTTTTCTAAATTTAATTCGACAGCTTTGTTGTATGTAAATAATTCCTATCATAAATTGCAGCCTTCAAAAACCTGATAAACATTAGTTTCACAAGCTTTGGCCAAGCTTAGGGGAACTTTCATTATGGTTAACAAGTATGAGGCTCTGGTCATGAGTTCCCGAACAGGGCATAAAAAGCCGATTATAATTATTATTTTGTAATTTAAGCCAGTTATTTCTCAATATCGAAAATCTAAATTAATTAATTATGTTTTACTAAAGTAAACAAAAAACTATTTCTAATTAACAATGGTATTTATCCTACGCTTTACCATGAATTAATTGTTTGGTTTTTGAAAAACATTATTACTCTATTTCTCATACAAGCAGTTTTTTTTTTTTTAGTTTTCTGTGTGCTCTTGTTGAGGACTAAAGCTTTAACATTTTCGTCGCAGTCACCTCTGAAAAAGCGACCTCTGGCGGTCACTTCTGTGCGCCTGGTTGCGTTCTGTTGGCATTGTCAAGGGCGCGCAGCAGCTGTTGTGCATATGTTAAGTTTTTGTTAGTTTAGTTTCGTTCGTTGCTGCGGCAGGGGGCAGGGGCCACGTTCACAGTAGCACTTCCCCTTCGCTTGCCGACCGCACTTGCTGCTTAGCTAAAAGTGGGCAATGCGTCGCTTATGTTTTCAGTTCTTTTTCAACTGCAATTTTTGCATTAATTAGAAAGAGTGCGTGTAAAACATGCACAGCAACATAGCCCCCACCTCACTGCTCACGACCCCTCGCTACAAGTCCTGTGGTTAGCTGCATAAACAAAATGTCTGCCACATTGTTTGTTTACAGCGCCGTTAAATTAGGCTTAAGGCGGTAACAACAACAAAACCGACAAGAACAACAACTGCAGCAGCAAAAACAACGAAAACTTTGCACACTATTTTGTTAAATATTTTTGCACAAATTGCTGGCACTGTTGTTGTTCTTGCTAATTACATAATTATATTATGAGCAGAACTTTGTTGTATTCAGTCTTTTGTTGTTGTTGTTATTATTGCAGCTGCAAATGTGTTTGGCATATTCGAATGGAAACTAATTGTTGCTCGCTTGCAATAAATATAATTTAATTTTGTGAAATCTTAAACAACTTATTTTGCTACGTTTTTCCGCCAATTAATTAATAAAGCTTTAGTATTAAAAAGTAATAATATTTTGATGTATACGTATTCAAAACTGGTAAAGGAAAAGCTTACACAGCATTCGACAGATACATTGGCCGAGTGTCAAGAATGGTAGGACTATCGTCTATTATTTCCGAATGGTGATGTACGTATTTTGGGTGCATCTACTCGGGAGAGGGCACGCCCATGGCTTGTCGCATTGAATTTGAAACTTTCAGGAACGGCAGCCGCAACTTAAATTGTTTCGAAGTGCTGACAAATTGTTGGCAAAACCAAAAATAAGAATATGCCTGTATAGAATCTGAAGCTGCACAAAATATTTTCACTTTAGTGCGTTTCAAGTGTGCATAGCACAAAAAAATATACATAATATATAAAAATATATATAAATAAATAAAAACGAACTAAAAACACAAGCACAAAAATGAATTCCAAGCATTGTTGAAATATATAAATCAAAATTGAATTACGAGTGTACAAGAGCTCAGCCATCCAAGCAGCCATGCAGCTCCCCCTTACCCCTTTCAGCCGCTTTGCCCGGCGCCGCCACCCATGGAAAGGCAAATAGAGCTTTTGCAAGGACAAATACAAGTTTCAAGCATTTCATAGTCAGAGCGCATAATCGAAATATCAACTATGTCTACTGCAGAAATAATAACAGCCGGCAATTGGCTTTTATTGAACTGAAATATTATGAAGAAGTTTTCAATATGCTCCGGCAGCACTTAAACAGTTAACTCTATCAAAAATCATGGACATTTTCATAAGCCAAGCGTTTCTGGAGCCCGAACAGCAACAAGATGGGAATACATTTCGGCCTTTCGAGCGTTTATTTCAGCTGCCATTTTCGTCATGTTTGTTATGATTACTGTCAAAATTGTTCAATTGTAGCTTTGAATATTTGCATTGGGTTTTGGCCCGCTCTGTTAGTTTTGTAGTTGCAGCAAGTGCTTCTTAAGTGTTTTGGCCAACTTTGCGTCAAAACGTTTTTGTGACGAATTTATTGAAAATGTTGCGGCTCCAAAAGCCAAATGTCAAAAATGTATGTATGTACACACAACGCACACAACAGCTTTGGCCGACAACTAAATTGGCCAACAACGAAATGAACAAACTGACAGCTTAATTTGTTTTGGCCTCCTCACAATTCGAAACATTTTGACAATTCTGCAAATTGTTATGCAAACTATTAGATTAAAGATTAAATGATACTTATGTTTAAATCGAAATAGTGCAGATTGTTATTTCATAAGTCAACAGTGTTCAAGGCCTGAGCCATAGTCAAATGGCAAACATATTTCAAAAAGCCCTCAATTTGTTTACTCACTCACACACACACGCACACACACACACACACACACACACACACACACACACACTTACACGCGCGTACAGAGATTGACCCATTCACCAAACTAGGCCGCAACTGCAATTCACAATAATCGAAGTCCAGCGCAGGCATAAATTGATTAAGCAGGCAGAGAGCACGAACACAGGGGAAAGACAGAGAGGCAAAGAGAGAAATGCAGAGTGTGGGGCGAGAGCTAGAGAGTGACAGGGACAGGCATAGTGAAGCGTAATTTAAATGCGTATTTTGTGCCCCCATAATTAACGCAAAACATTGCATTGCCTTGCGCCTCCCGCCTCCCGCCTCTTGGTTTTGGCAATTTTCACGCAGCATCTGCCGCGGCAGATAATTACTCTTAAAACTAATTAAAATAAATGTGCGTGAGCCAATAACAGCACAAGTCTCTATGACAACATAGATGTTAATTATGAGCGCACTGCTCACAGCCGCGCCGCTGCCAGCGCTGATCTCCAACTCCGAATCGCCGGCAGCGTGCGCTGACCGGAACTGCGCTTCGTCTAACAGTGCCAGCAAAAACAACCACCAGAGCCAGCTGCTGGCCACATTGGCCGGGAATTAAACCAACATTATGGTACATTATCTGCTGCAAGCCAAAAGCTGCGATTCCTCCATTTAACTGACCGCGGACTAGGTGCACAGCCGACTGCCGACTGTCAGTCGCAGGCTGTGAAGCGTACGAATATTTACATTCTGCACATAATACAAAAAAAAAATATATATCAAATAACAAGAACGAGGGCAACATCAAGAGTTTCTCGTTGCCATTCCAGAATCGCTTTGGTAAATTTATAATCAAAAATAATAGGTAAATAAAATATTGGCTTTTTTCAGTTGATAAGTGGTATTACCCGGCTTTGCACGGCGCATTAGTGTGCACAACATTTCCCATAGACTTTTGTGTGATAAAATTGTTGCATTTGACGTTATCGGCAGCACCGAGGGTTACTCAGTTGGTTGCGTGCGATATTATCGGCCACGCCGATATCTTTTTGGCATATGGTCGGAGTATGCGGGGTGAAGCTGGGCCCACGGCGGAGCCCAAAGTTTTGAAGGGTGGCAACGCCAGACATGCGATCCACGGCGCCAAAAGCGACGATTGCTATTGGCCGCCCGTTTCGCTCTTAAAGGGAATACGAGGAGAGTGGATCGCATGCCCTTGGATATGCCCTTGGCCTTCATTTGGGCCGTTGACCCAAAAAAATGCAGCTGTGCAGATGAGCAGCAACGGTGCCCGCCTCGCAAATGTATGCGTGTGCCGAAATTCGGCACCGATGGTGTGGCTGCCAAAAATGTCGAGGAGTTCGATTTGTTCAGCGGTTAACGGCGGGCGTGCCAGCTCGAAGTGAGCAAAAAAGTTGGACATTGCATTTCTGCTTGACAGAGTAAAATTTTTTCCCTTCTGAAAAATTAAGCCGGCACATAATACCAATGGCTTAACAGACGAATAAAAGTTTTGTTTTTGTGTTCTTTGCCATGTAATAAATTTATATAAATCAAACCGCTCGAATCACAAAGAAAATATAATAAAAAAATTAAAAGAGACTTAAAAATTTAAGTGCGACGAGAGACGAACCAAATAAGCCGAAAATTAACGGCTCCGGCACCAAGGAGACCAGCTCGCGCACCAGAGAGGCCCACGAAATATTCAAGGCCAGGATTCAGTGCAGCGGCGCAAACCAGCCATATCCGCGACGCCGCCAGCAAGCGTCGGCGCAAACGTGAAGGCGACGAGACGAGCCACCAACGACCGGGCTCCAACAACGAAGAAGCGGCCACAGGCGAGACCCCGCCCACATCCACCGAGTGAGTCCGTTCCATTGTTTTGCCCATCCTCGTTCGAGCCCCTGGCAGAGTCAGAAGAAGACTCCTAATTGCACTCCCTGAAAAGGAGTAGATTTTTTTTTTATCGTTAAATTTGGTTAATTTGTATTTATAAAATATATTCATACATACATAGGCACTTACGCCGAGCTTCACTTTAGAGTGCGAACGGTGAGGAAAACTCCAACGGTGATGCATCTGCGCCTGTAAAATATAAAAAAAAAAAAATCTAAAATTAACTCTTGCGCGAACTATGCTCACATACTTACCTAATTTGAATTTACGCATTTATATCGCCCCTTACCACCCCCAGAGAGCTCTTTAGGTAGGGTAAGGTAGAATTAAGCGATTTAATACATACAATACACAATACGTGACATACCCAGTTTTAAGTAATTGTGCGGGCCATTGTTCCTAAATCGGGGCAACGATTGCCTCTAAAGTGCCTCATTGCGCGTTTCTTTTACGGCGACTCGCAATATCCTTGTAGTGTTCCGTCGCCTGTCCCATTCAGTGTTGTAAAAAAAAAAATAAAAAAATATTAATTCTATAGGATAAGAGAAAAATTTAGGAATTAATGCGCTTTGTCAATTAGTATAAATATATGCAACAGTAATACGCACCTGTGAAGTTAATGAATTATCCGCTTGCATGAGATCCTAAACAGCTGCAAGATAAATGATTATGATTGTTATACATTTTAAGAAAACGCAACCAATTATACGCACCTATTGAAAGAAATCATGTACGGCTAAAATAATATTGCTGGGGAGAGTGGGCATTATGGCCGACACGGGCTAATATAGGCCATCTAGTGGCCAAAATGAGGGAGACGAGTGGAGGTGATCGTCTCATGGTAGGGCGGGTACGCTGGGTCCGGAACCGGGGCCCGATCTGGAAGAGTAAGGTGGATAAATAGTGTTTTTTTGTTAATTTATATTGAGTGTCTTACCTTTGTTGTTTACATTTTCATAGTTGTTACAGCTGTGTATTTTGTTCATGAGTTAGTAGTTCCGAATATTTGTTATCGATTATGCGGTTCATTTTGAGTAGTGTTGTGTGAGTCTGTTTTGCTACAGACGTGTAGCTTTGTTGTTATCGATTGCGCGGACTGCGGGCCAGGGATGGGACCACACCCAGAGAATCCGATGAGCCAGCCGGCGCGGCCCACTGAGAAACAAGCAGTTCCGTAACAATATGGCGCCCAATTTGAAGAAGCACTCGGCTTCTTTGAAGTCGGTGTGTAATCAAAGAAAATAAATACGATAAAAATGAAGGTACAGAGGAAAGGACTCCCTTGGCTTCAGGACCCACACCGCTGAAGTCTTATGTGGCACGAGGAGGTAGCTCATAATCGCGCAGCGTGTAGTGGAATCCGAGAAGCACGACGGAAGTAGAGGTTATCTGAATATCCATCCATAAGCATGAGGGGTTTTTTTTTTGTAGTGGTTGATGGCCGTTCGCATGTTGGCGAAACATTTGCGACTATCCATCGTTCGCCTGGTGGTAGCCGCAACGACAAAGGCATCTCATGGTAAAAAAAATGTGATATTAGGGTAGTTTAGTCAGATGTTATTTATTCAATTAGTTGTTTTTGTCTCATTTTGTGTCAATGTTGGATGTATGCTGGCCGTAGTTATACGAGCTTCGGAGACCGGTGACCCAGGACGATATAGAGCCGAGCCTGCGCCGCATCTGTCACACAGCATATCCCAAGAATGGCCAGAAGAGCGACGGAGACGGATCTTGCCATGGTGTCCATTGACATGGGGTGTTTTCTTGTCGCGGTTGATGACGGTAAGTCACGTTTGCTAGTTGGTGAACGTTCGCGACCGTCAATCGTAGCCTGGTGGTAGCCGCCATGACAAAATAACCTGTGACGAAATGTGATATTAGGGTAGGTCTGACTAGAGTTTGTTTAATGTTTTCTATTTGTTTTGTCCCACTCTGTGTTAACGTTTGGTGTGTGCTGGCCGTAGTTAAATGAGCTTCGGAGGCAGGTGACCCAGGACGATATAGAGCCGATCCTGCGCCGCACCTGTCACACAGCATACTCTAAGGGTGCACAGAAGTGCGACAGAAACCAAATAGCCTTCAAGGTAGCGTTCCTTGCATGCCGTCCGTCAGTCAAACTGACGAACTGAGCATGGGACGAATGCTTAAGTGTTGTCCACTGTCCAGATTATGCGTAGATTATTTAGCCTGTGTTAGGATTTGTCTTCTCTCCCCCAAGTATTTGAAATTAATTAGAAAGAAAAAAAAATTTAATTTTGTGAGTGTTTTTGTGGTCGATGTGTATTAATTTATTATTCTTTATTAGTAAGATTTGTTAGTGGGTGTTTATTTATTTATTAATTTATTAGAAATATTAGTAAAGTTTTTATAAGGGTTGTAAGCCTTGTAGAAGAGAGGGGTACTGTTCTCAGAAGGGATAAGTATGGCTGAGGAACAGGTGTCTGATTGGGCTTCTGACGCTGATGGGGCGTCGGCTCTGCCACCGCCGCGCCCAGCTGGAGGGCTGGTGCGAACGCCAATGAATTTCCGGGGATTTCCAGAGAGACAGATCCCGAAAGAGGGTCACCTGGTAGACTTGGAGAAAGAATTGGCGCAACAGGATAGACCTCCACGGAACCTGGAGTTCCCAAAAGCCCCGAAAGACTCAGTGCTCAAATCGACGGCAAACGCGGCGATCGCTCAGGCCCACCAAACATATCTGCATGCTCTGCCATCTGGCATCAGCGAGTCCATCCGCGAGGAGATGCGAGCTGGCTTCATGGAAATGATGAAGGGCATCATTGATGTGCTTAGGCCGCCAGGGAGCCAAACCGCCGAGACTAACACTGCGCCGAAGCCGCCAAGACATGTCGAGCCGGGACCGCGAACAGGCGCCATCCCGAAAGAACGGGAAGTGTTCCAGCGCGAGGCATTTCCACCACCGGTGCCACCGAAGCCACGTAGGCAAGGCGCACGAGGGGCGGAGTATTCGTCCAGCAGCCCAGTTTACGTGGCAGATGCTCAGTCGAGGAACTGGCGTAACCCGAATAACCGCCATTTCCGAGTAGAGGACCGGAGAGCGGATGATTTTCAACCGGAGGAGGCGTACGCCAACGTGCGAGAAACTGCGTACATGAAGCTCGAGCGGTGGAACGTCAAGTTTGACGGCGAGGACGCGATGAATTCGGTCGAGGACTTCGTGTTCCGCCTAGAGTTCCTGCAGAGGCAGTATCAGTGCCCGTGGAAGGAGGTCCTGCGCGGTTTCCACCTGCTCCTGACCGGCCGCGCCCGCGAGTGGTACTGGATGCACGTGCGGCATTCTAGGGTCGACAGCTGGATGCAACTGCGGCATGCCCTCTTGGACAGGTTCCGGGGCTACCAGACGGAACACGAGGTAATGCAGGAGCTTCTACAACGAGAGCAACAGGCCAGCGAAGGGGTGGATGATTATATCCACCACATGCGTCAACTCGCCGCGCGATTCCAGAAGCCGCTGAGAGACCGAGAGCTGGTGAGGATTATAAAGCGTGGTTTAAAAGAAAGTCTGGCGAAATATATTTATGCCATGGACGTACTCACCGTGGATGAGCTGCGCCAAGAGTGCCTAGAAGTGGAGAGGCACATGGGTCGCAGAAGCCGGACTGGGTACCTTCAGCCGTCGCGTTGTCCACAAGGAACGAGGCCCGTAGTCCACGAGGTTGAAGTTCCACCGCATCTTACAGAAACGCCACCGGGAGAACTGGAGGAGGCATTCGTGCGAAGCAGGAACTCATCCCGAATTGTATGCTGGAACTGCAGACAGTTCGACCACGTCTTTAGAGACTGCCTGTCCAAGGAGCGGAAAATATTCTGCTATAGGTGTGGAAAGCCGGACACTTTCTGCTCGCAGTGTGAAAACTGTCCGGGAAACCCCAGAGGGAGCGCGGTGATGGCGGGACAGACGCGTTCCGGGACGGCGACCGCGGGAAAGCAGGAGGGGGGCACCTACCAGAGCCAATAATCATTGGAAAGGAGACGGAGATTTGGAATAAGGATCAGGATAAGGCTAATTATAATAATAGTATAAGCAAAGGAGGAACACTTAGGGGCTTACCATACGAAGAACGTGTTCGGGCATACATGTCGGCCCGAAATAGAATTTTTGGTGAGCGACAGCTGGAGGGGATGACGCTAGCCACCCGGAGAATGGTGAAGGCACGTGCGCGCTTCCGCAGACGCAGGATTACCAGGCGCCAGGTCGTCGAAGCGGTGAGACGGGAGGAGAGTATAGACCCACGAGTATTCGCCGAAGTGGAGGTCGCTGGAGCCAAAATGAAAGGGTTGCTGGACACGGGGGCCTCAGTCAGTCTGTTGGGACAAGGATGCCGGGAGTTAGTGGAGAAACTGGGATGGGAAGCGCGGCCATACGAATCGATGGTGAGGACAGCGGCGGGTGCCAATCGCCCAATTTTAGGTCGCGTTGTTCTGCCTGTGAAATACGGGAATAGAACGGAAGATATCGTATTTTACATGTGCCCGGACCTGCGACAGGAACTATACCTGGGAATCGACTTCTGGCGAGCCTTTGAGATCGCACCAGAGCTGCTCGGTCCGGCCAGAAAGTCCGAAACACCACCAGAGGCATCTGAGGTAACGGTAGCGAACCCAGAGGTGGCTTATTACCGGGACGACGACGAATGCGTAACGGATCCGGAAATGTGGGACCTGGACAACGATCAGAGGAGTCAGTTGGAAAGCGTGAAGCGCAGATTTCTCCAATTTGAGAAGGATGGCCTAGGGAAAACTCACCTGCTGCAGCACCGAATTCAGCTGATCGAGGGAGCAGAACCCGTGAAAGACAGACATTATCCGCTGTCCCCGGCCAAACAGGAGATCGTGTGGGCCGAGGTGGATAAGATGCTAAAGTTGGGCATCATCGAGGAGAGTGACAGCCCCTGGAGCAACCGGACGACGGTGGTGATGAGGCCTGGGAAGAACAGGTTTTGCTTAGACGCCAGGAAATTAAACAGTGTAACGGTAAAAGACGCGTACCCGCTTCCATGCATCGAGGGCATCCTATCGCGAATCGACGAGACTCATTTTATCTCTAGCGTCGACCTTAAGTTCGCGTTCTGGCAAATAGAGATGGAGGAGAAGAGCAGGGCGTATACGGCGTTTACTGTACCAGGGAGGCCGCTGTACCAGTTCCGCCACATGCCATTCGGGCTCTGCAACGCCGCTCAACAGCTTTGCAGGCTCATGGACAAGGTAATCCCGGCGAATCTGAGGTCCAACGTATTCGTATACCTGGACGACTTGCTGATAATATCGGCAGATTTTCCAACGCACTTAAAATACTTGGAATTGGTGGCCGAGTGTCTGAGGAACGCGAACCTCACCATAGGCATGGCGAAGTCGAAATTCTGCTTCCGCAACCTAAACTACCTGGGTTTCATCATAGGCGGCGGGACGCTGCGCATGGATCCGGGAAGGGTAGAAGCGATCCGGAACATCCCGAATCCGAGGACGGTCAAGGAACTACGAAGCTTCTTAGGTACGGCGGGGTGGTACCGCCGATTCATAAAGAATTTCGCTGAGATATCGGTACCGTTGACTGATGCCCTTAAGAAGAGAACGGGTAGATTTGTGTTGAGCGACGAGGCCATAGAAGCCATAGAGAGCTTAAAGTTAGCCCTCACCACAGCCCCGGTGTTAGTTCACGCAGATTTTCGAAGACCATTCTTCATCCAATGCGACGCATCTCACTACGGAGTAGGAGCCGTGTTGTTCCAGCTAGACGACGAACAACAGGAAAGGCCGATCGCATTCTTCTCGGCCAAACTCAACAAGCACCAGATCAACTATTCGGTGACCGAGAAGGAATGCCTAGCCGCCAAACTGGCCATACATCGATTCCGGCCGTACGTGGAGATGATGCCGTTCACGGTAATCACCGATCATGCGAGTCTGCAGTGGCTTATGAGTCTCAAAGACTTGAGCGGGAGATTAGCCAGGTGGTCCCTCGAACTGCAAGCGTTCCCTTTCTCCATGCAGTACCGCAAGGGAGCCGACAACGTCGTCGCAGACACATTGTCCCGAAGCGTGGAAGAGGTCGAACTGACCCCGGAAGATCTGTTGGGATTTCAGACCCCGGAGTTCGAGAGCACCGAATATCGAGAGCTGATAAGAGAGGTGATGAGCCAACAAGGGAAGTTGCCGGACCTTAGAGTGCAGGACGGACTTCTGTTCAAGAGGACCGTGCACGAGAGCTTGGAGGATGAGGTCGAAGGCACAAGTTGGAAGCTCTGGGTGCCGGAGTCGCTGACGGCAGGACTCATCCAACAAGCACACGCGGACGAGACGTCAGCTCATGGAGGCATGAGGAAAACGCTGCACGCGCTGCGCAGGCAATATTATTGGCCCAACATGGCCATACAAGTCAGGGACTATGTTCGGAAATGCGATACATGCAAGGAGACCAAGGCACAGAACTACCGAATGCAGGTCGGAATTGGGGAAGAAGTGCGCACCGACCGCCCCTTCCAGAAGCTATATATCGACTTCTTGGGGAAGTATCCACGGTCGAAACGAGGGCATGCGTGGATATTCGTCGTCGTAGATCACTTCTCGAAGTTTACCTTCCTGAAGGCCATGAGGGAAGCCACCGCGGCGGATGTCGTGAACTTCCTAGTGCATGAGGTGTTCTTCAAATTTGGCGTGCCGGAAGTGATCCATTCGGATAATGGACGACAATTCGTGTCAAAGTCGTTCGATGCGATGGTCCAGGCGTTTGGCATTACTCACCTGCGCACACCAGTGTATTCGCCTCAGAGCAACGCCGCCGAACGCGTGAACCGCACAGTGCTGTCGGCAATCCGAACCTACCTGGGTCAGGATCATCGGGAATGGGACGCGTACCTACCAGAGGTGGAAGTGGCGATCCGGAATGCGGTCCACAGCGCTACGGGAGTCACTCCGTTCTTCGCGGTCTTTGGACAGCAGATGTACCTGAATGGTTCCAGTTACAAACTGGCCAGGAAGCTGAGATCATTGGCCGACCACAGTATTTCTGACCTTGACGCAAAGGACAGACTGGCTGTAATCCGAAGCCAAGTCAAGGACCACCTGCACACCGCATACGAGCGAAGTCGCCAACGGTACGACCACCGCGCGCGACAGCTCCATCTGGAACCGGGACAGGAAGTGTGGAGGCGCAACTTCGCACTAAGCAGCTTCGGCAAAGCCTTCAATGCCAAGTTCGCCCGGAAGTTCTTGAAGAGCCGCGTCGTCCGAGCCGTGGGAACCAACGCCTACGAGTTGGAAGATCTCCAGGGACGCGTGCTAGGCGTCTTCCACGCAAAAGATATACGAACATAATCGTAATTTGCTCACCTCCTTGCCAGGCAACGGCGGCGGCAGCGCCAGTCCCCCCTTTTTTTTTTGGGTCAGCAAAAAAAAAACATAGATTACTTGTCGTGGGTGTGGCCTACGTTGGGCATCGTTATTAGCCGGCTGGGTCAATCCATGAAATGCGCACGCAGATTCCTTGTAACTGTCCTTCATGTCGTTACAATAATCTGCGTGGTGATGTTGCATTTGACGTTATCGGCAGCACCGAGGGTTACTCAGTTGGTTGCGTGCGATATTATCGGCCACGCCGATATCTTTTTGGCATATGGTCGGAGTATGCGGGGTGAAGCTGGGCCCACGGCGGAGCCCAAAGTTTTGAAGGGTGGCAACGCCAGACATGCGATCCACGGCGCCAAAAGCGACGATTGCTATTGGCCGCCCGTTTCGCTCTTAAAGGGAATACGAGGAGAGTGGATCGCATGCCCTTGGATATGCCCTTGGCCTTCATTTGGGCCGTTGACCCAAAAAAATGCAGCTGTGCAGATGAGCAGCAACGGTGCCCGCCTCGCAAATGTATGCGTGTGCCGAAATTCGGCACCGATGGTGTGGCTGCCAAAAATGTCGAGGAGTTCGATTTGTTCAGCGGTTAACGGCGGGCGTGCCAGCTCGAAGTGAGCAAAAAAGTTGGACATTGCATTTCTGCTTGACAGAGTAAAATTTTTTCCCTTCTGAAAAATTAAGCCGGCACATAATACCAATGGCTTAACAGACGAATAAAAGTTTTGTTTTTGTGTTCTTTGCCATGTAATAAATTTATATAAATCAAACCGCTCGAATCACAAAGAAAATATAATAAAAAAATTAAAAGAGACTTAAAAATTTAAGTGCGACGAGAGACGAACCAAATAAGCCGAAAATTAACGGCTCCGGCACCAAGGAGACCAGCTCGCGCACCAGAGAGGCCCACGAAATATTCAAGGCCAGGATTCAGTGCAGCGGCGCAAACCAGCCATATCCGCGACGCCGCCAGCAAGCGTCGGCGCAAACGTGAAGGCGACGAGACGAGCCACCAACGACCGGGCTCCAACAACGAAGAAGCGGCCACAGGCGAGACCCCGCCCACATCCACCGAGTGAGTCCGTTCCATTGTTTTGCCCATCCTCGTTCGAGCCCCTGGCAGAGTCAGAAGAAGACTCCTAATTGCACTCCCTGAAAAGGAGTAGATTTTTTTTTTATCGTTAAATTTGGTTAATTTGTATTTATAAAATATATTCATACATACATAGGCACTTACGCCGAGCTTCACTTTAGAGTGCGAACGGTGAGGAAAACTCCAACGGTGATGCATCTGCGCCTGTAAAATATAAAAAAAAAAAAATCTAAAATTAACTCTTGCGCGAACTATGCTCACATACTTACCTAATTTGAATTTACGCATTTATATCGCCCCTTACCACCCCCAGAGAGCTCTTTAGGTAGGGTAAGGTAGAATTAAGCGATTTAATACATACAATACACAATACGTGACATACCCAGTTTTAAGTAATTGTGCGGGCCATTGTTCCTAAATCGGGGCAACGATTGCCTCTAAAGTGCCTCATTGCGCGTTTCTTTTACGGCGACTCGCAATATCCTTGTAGTGTTCCGTCGCCTGTCCCATTCAGTGTTGTAAAAAAAAAAATAAAAAAATATTAATTCTATAGGATAAGAGAAAAATTTAGGAATTAATGCGCTTTGTCAATTAGTATAAATATATGCAACAGTAATACGCACCTGTGAAGTTAATGAATTATCCGCTT